GGATATGCTTAATTCTTTTAATTCATCGTACAGCCATGCATTGACCCCTAGCCTCGGAAAAATAGGTCTGCTCACATCATTATGAATTACACAAACATATTATGTCACGGGCATTTCTTGTTCCACACCCTAGGAACACTCACCTATCAATTAAATTATAAATCAATATTTCTTTTAAAATGCGCCAAATATTGCACTTACCTATACAAATCATAGTGGAAGAGCTCCTTAAAATCCGCCATGGGTATTTGACTAGATGGCCAGTGATAGATGACAGCATAGAGGCGGGCAATTAAACGACATTGTTTCAATGCCGCTGCCAAGGCATTGGACCCCTTCAGCTGGGTCATTTCCTCCACTGTGAAATACAACACCGTATTATAACTTTCCGGCAGCAAGTCAATATAGGGTTTCCAAAAACTATCCTCCTTGAGAGCCTCAACCATTAATAAAAATGCCAATTTCAAATTGGATGGTTGAAAGAAATCCCTTACAAATGCACAAACTTCATGTTCTTCGGACAACACCAATTTGTGAGGTATACCAAAGAGGATTTCATCCTTTTGTATATCACGTGTGGCCTTTAGGCCCAAATCGTAGCCAGGAAATTCAGTGATTTCTACATTTTCATATTGTAACCCGTTTTCCTTGGCCCATTGATAGAATTTGTCAATGTTCGCCAAACGATTGCCCTTGGGCTTATGACTGCACTGCTGTTTCAAGGGTTCCTCCAGCTTTTGAATACGTTTTAAAATCTCCTGGATTTTTAGGTATTGTTCCCATTCCTCTTTGGGATTTGAGGTTTCTATATAGACTGTTTTCAACAGCAGACCAATAAGTTCGTGCAATTCAATGCGAGCCTGAGGGGATAAATTCAATTTTTTTGGTTGCTCAAATTGACGGACAGCGGCTGCAGCATTATGACTACTACTGTTATTGGTATTGTTTTTGTTGTTGTTGCTGTTCTGCTGGTTACCGGCATTGTTTTTATGTTTATTTTTATTGTGCTGCTTTTTGTTGCTTGGCATCTTTTGTTTGTTATCACCGAATGTCTTGGGTTTTTGATTATTCAATTAATAAATGTAAATTTATTTCGTTAAATAATTCACTCTGTTGTCAGGTATATGGCAGGATTTAATAATAGCTAAAACTAAATAAAATTCCAGCAACAAATAAACACCAAAAATAGAACTGCTTTTCACGTGCGTTGGCGGTCGGATTTGTTTTATTGTTTTTTAAAGGACTGTTTCACGCACAATCTCAAATCACACATATACACACTTGTTCTATTTGTTCCTAGATATTTATATATATATTTTATTTATATTATTTATACGAAATGCGATAAATAATTAATGAATTAACAATTTACCAAACCGACGCCGCCGAGCATGGCCCAATTATAAGGTCTTCCTTCGAGCGAATTAATCTAAAAAACAGCTGTTATTTTACTACATGAAATGTCAAAATTAAATATTTTCGCCTTGACAGAAGAATTTTGTGGCGAATACCATGGTAGAATTACAAGGTAGCCCTATCAGGGCAGCTGTAGGCAACTTGATATGTCAAACAACTTGTTGTAATTCGAATTCGCCCTACATATACACAAAGAGAAAAAAGAACACAAATAATTATTAACATTGAACATTTTGGAATAGTAAATTTTGAGGTATTGCATGGTGGACAAGCTAAGTCCAATACCTTCCTTAAGTTAACATTTGTATAAATGCATTCATGTGTTGGTGTTCAGTTCTTTATGTCTGTGAATTGGCAACTCTATCAGCTGTTAGCATTTGCTTAGAGACAGAGTAGTATTTTGGGTGCACCTTAAAATGTCACGCAAAAGTGATGAAATGAAACCCCTCAGAAATTCAGTAGAAAATGGGGGAAAATTCATAATTTCTTGTGGAAAACTATTGTTTCTATTATTGTTGATATGCTAAATATTTCGATGCTTAATAAAAGAATTTAAGAGAGGGGCAAAAGGAAAAAAATGTGTGGATTGTAAATGACTAAAATATTGATTAAAATCGATTAAGATTTTAATATTCAAATATTTATTATTTTTATATCGCTGAACTATTTTTAAAGAACTTTGTATAACAACAATACTTATACCCTACACCACATAGTGGTAAGGGTATTATGGCTTTGTGCATATGTTTGTAACATGGAGAAAGATAGACCCATTTTCTTCATAGAATCACTTTCTGAGTCGATTTACGCATATCAGTCCGTCTGTCCATGTATTCTTGTGCAATTTTCCAAACAATATTTGTTTGGCCCAAGGACGAACCCTATTGAAATTGGTTTTAATCGGATCAGATTTAGATATAGCTCCCATACATATCTTCAACCAATTTCGGCAAATATCAGTCCAAATGACCTGAATTTTGGCACATCCGACCCAATTCAACCTAGAATATTTATTTCATTCGATTTGGTGTTTAAGTCCCCCACATTCGTAATATGCATCCGACAACATTGATATTTAGTTCCAGATATCTTATAGAGCTCAGAAATACCTCTGCCAAAGTTCATCCCACATATATCTTCAACCGATTTCGGGTTAAATGTGCCCAAATAGCGAATATCACATTTTGGCACATCCGACCGAATTCAATCTAGAAGCAAGTACATCTAATTTGGTAAAAATCGGTTCAGAAATAGCTATAGCTCCCATATATATGCTTCATCCGATTTGGGGCTTAAGTCCCTTACATGCGTAATATGCATAAGACAACATTGATATTCGGTTCCTGATATCTTACAAAGTATCTTATGAAGCTCGGAAATATTTCTTCCAAATTTCATCAAGGTCGGTTACGATTTGGATATAGCTCCCATATATCCTTAATCCGAATTCCGGGTTATTGTGCAAATCATAGCTAATATCAGCCCAAATGGAGCGAATTTAGGGACGTGCGTTTGGCCGTGGAACTCGGCTCCGACTTTTTTTAATATAATTCTTGGAGCAAGTTGAGTTTAGGGGCTATGCTCGGATCATTTTGAAATTTTTACCGCAGGTAGGTATTTGTAACCTGATTACGGCAATGTAATTTTTTTGTGGGGGAAATACCCGGTTACCCGGTTATTCGACCCAAAAGTTCGAATACAACATCCGGTTTGTATCCGGTTCTACGTAACCGATATCAATAAAATGGGTATCATTTGAAAGCTTATGAAAATACCTATCCAACAAGTGGTAATATGACGGGGTTGCTGGAACCGGTTTCGGAGAAATTTAGGAAAATTTGCATTTTTGTATGAGTACTTTTTGAAAAACCTATAAAAACTCGAAAATGGACCCATTATAGGGTCTTAAAATCTATACACTATATTATAGCTAACACTATTGCCTTTCCAAAATGGTGTCATATGTGTTGATATCTTTTGTGGTTCCGTGGATATAAGAGATAGAATTCATTAAATTATATTTTTCTCCAGTCTAGATGCATTTGACTTTGACCTTTATAGCTTTTTTAAGCAACCGGCCTTCGGCCGGGGCTTAAGATTTTCTCTTCTGGGGTATGTCCAACACCGGCTACGCGATCCATAGTTTTTCTAAAAATTGTACATTTTGTAAGTAGCCGGCCTTCGGCCGGGGCTTAAGATTTTCTCCTCTAGGGTATGTCCAACACCGGCTACGCGATCCATAGTTTTTCTAAAAATTGTAATTTTTGTAAGTAGCCGGCCTTCGGCCGGGGCTTAAGATTTTCTCCTCTAGGGTATGTCCAACACCAGCTACGCGATCCATAGTTTTTCTAAAAATTGTAATTTTTGTAAGTAGCCGGCCTTCGGCCGGGGCTTAAGATTTTCTCCTCTGGGGTATGTCCAACACCGGCTACGCGATCAATAGTTTCCTAAAAACTGTAGTTTTCGAAAGTAGCCGGCCTTCGGCCGGGGCTTAAGATTTTCTCCTCTGGGGTATGTCCAACACCGGCTACGCGATCCATAGTTTTTCTAAAAATTGTAATTTTTGTAAGCAGCCGGCCTTCGGCCGGGGCTTAAGATTTTCTCCTCTGGGATATGTCCAACACCGACTACGCGATCCATAATATTCTAACAACACCAAATTAAAAACAAAGCAGATTAACAAGAACGTTAAACCCGACACAAAACTTGGGTTCACTCAAACTGCTTTCATAAGTAACGACTTTAAAAGTCAATATCTTCGGAACTACCAAAGATATCAACACATGTGACACCATTTTGGAAAGGCAATAGTGTTAGCTATAATATTGTGTATAGATTTTAAGACCCTATAATGGGTCCATTTTCGAGTTTTTATGGGTTTTTCAAAAATTACTCATACAAAAATGCACATTTTCCTAAATTTCTCCGAAACCGGCAACCCAGCAACCCCGTCATATGACCACTTGTTGGATAGGTATTTTCATAAGCTTTCAAATGATACCCATTTTATTGACATCGGTTACGTAGAACCGGATATAAACCGGATGTTGTATCCGAAATTTTGGGTCGAATAACCGGGTAACCGGGTATTTCCCCCACAAAAAAATTATATTGCCGTAATCAGGTTACTAATACCTACCTGCGGTAAAAATTTCAGGTCAATCCAAGCAAAGCCCCTAAACTCAACTTATGCCTAATTCTTCTCGAAGTGGTATCATCCATTCTATAGAATTGTCATTTGCTATAAAAAATTAAAATGTCTTCGTCAAACTTAGTGAAAATCGATTCAGAATTGGATATGCCTCCCATATATTAGTTCCCTCTGAAATCACACTGTAACCGCTCTAAAGCCAAATGTTGATAAGTGGTATAATCTACCACTCAGACTTTCAAAACTTTTTTCGCCAAAAAAGTGAGTTTCCCATAAACTATTCCCCTTTGTACTTCTGAATGGAGTCTCACTTTGTCGCAAAATGTATGTTAAACTTCCGTCATCATTAAAGTATCCCCTTCAAAAGTACCCTCATGTGGCAACCTTCTGAATACTGACTACCGAACTCTCCCCAAAGTACTCGCATACTTGTCAACTTTACAACACAACATTTTTCACACAAATTTTTCGATCGAGATGTTTTTACGCGTTTCGAAGTAAAATTAAAGAAATTCTGCTGGAAAAACAATCGAAACGCTTGTGAAAATATTAGAAAAACGTTTTTCAAACGCAAAGGGTAATAAATTCATTAAAATTCACACGAATTGCTAACATACAACGTGAGAAAAGGCCGGTGAAAAGAAAGGAATATTTTTTCAATGAGAAAAAAATCTGAATTCTCATGAAATGAGTGCAATTAAGTGTTAATGCACATAAGCCAAAAGGGAATTGGTGGTATTGTGTGTATGATGTGATTGTTGAGAGTGGTTGTCTCTTTCTTGTTAGTGTGGTGGCATATGAGTGTGTCGTTGGTGAGAAGAACAGGAATATATGTGTGCTGACTGTTTGTGGAGAAAAAGTGGGCGGTTTGTGTTGTTCTTTTTCATGTTTTTTCGTTTCGACTTGCTGTGAGATTTGTTTATGTGGCATACATTTTTGGGGTATTGTTTTTATCTTTAGCTGAAATAATTAAACTTTATGTGCAATAAAAAGAAATAAATAATAAAGTAAAGTTAATTAATAGTCAAATAAAAACAGGCAATAAAAATATATGTTCTCGGAGTGTGTAATTCGGCTTTTTTACCGTGAGTATGATTAAGCGTGGTGAATTAAGAATCCCAAATTGCGACAATATTTAACTTTATTTACTACTCCTGTATTAATTTAAATATAAGCCGGACTTTTCAGTGAGATTACGTATTTTAAATTTATTTTAAAGTATTTGCTGTACATTCCCTTCATTTTTTCTCAGTTATTTACTTTTGACATTTCCACCAGACCCCCAAGTTTTTGTTTGTTTTCTACCTAATGTCAAATTGTCACTGAAATTCACCACTACGTCTTTTTTCTCTGCCTTCAACTGTCAAATGTAGAAAAACGACAGTCATTTTTTAGAGTTCTTTACACATAAGCGGCAATAATCGGTTGGTAGAGATTTTATGTGTGTGTGCAGTGTGTAATAAATAATTTTGTGAAAAAATCGATGTAATTTGGAAATGAAATTCATTTTTGTTAAAATATTTGGCCAATTATTATAAATAAAGCCCAGTTTAATTATTTTTGAGAAAATTAAGAGGCGTTTTCAGGAAGTTGAATTTCTCTTAACATCCGCCCCTTTCTTTAGTGATGGGATTATTTTAATTTAATAATTTTTCTTTCACAATTACTTTTTTCTCAGTTTCCTTTCATTTTGTTAATTTCCATTCACAAATTCTTTGCCTTATTTTATGGTGGCTGTGAGCGTATGTGTGCATTGCAAACAAAATAAAATAACAATTCCAATGAAACCGTAAATTTCACCTGTGTGGCTCACTAAAAAAATTATACCTACCAACAAAAAATTAAATAAAATCAATCAAAACCCAGTGAAAAAAAAGTAAAATACAATAACAAAAGAACACTCACCAAGTGTTGTTAACTGTGTATTGTCAGTAAAAGAGGGAGTGTGAGTAGTGTGAGAGAGAAAACCAGCCAGGCCATTGATTTAACTAGCCAAAAAGAGAGTTAGAGCATAATATCAGTTAGTTCATCGTTCGTTAGTTGTTTGGTCGGTCGGTCGTCGTGTACACGTAATTACGACTTCTTTTTTGTGTCATCACTGATTTTCTTCTATATTTTTTGTCATTACAACATAACCACCAACAAAACACAATAAAATAAACCAATACCACCAACTCATTGTATAGAGTGAGTGTGAGAGAGAGGAGAACTAGTAAACAAACAATTGAACATACCTTTGCAGTGTTGCATTTTTTATGAAAACGTCATCTTTCAGCAAAACAAGACAACAGAAACGAACAAAAGTGCTAAAGAAATAATAATAAAAAAACCATAGTGTCCGTGCAACATTAACCAAGAAGAAGCGCAAGAGTAGCAGCAGCAAAAGGTGCACAAAATGACTCAAATTCTACCCATACGCTTTCAGGAGCATTTACAGGTAAGTTTTTATGAAATTTGAATTGAAATTTCAGCTAACAATTCCCTTAAAATGTACCATATGTTTTTGGGTATTTTTCTCTGTTTTAGTTGTTCATATCATTAGAAATTCTCCATTTAGTTCAACACCCCTATATAATGTTTTATCAGTTGCTCTTCTTCCGCCGCCATCGACAAATAAAATAACTCAAACAGCAACAACTTGTTGCCAATGTTATCTGCATTTTGGTGGTGAAGTTAAAAATGTTCTGTGATTTACAATTGTATAAAAGCAATGTATACTTGGTTTAATGAATTTTCTGTTGTAGATCCAACTCAGCATTGCAAAGAGTTAGTCGTCAAGCTCGTACCAGCAACAGCCAGCCAGCCAGTCTGCCAGTCAGTCACTCATCCATCCAACCAGCATTCATACATTATCGCTCATACAAAAGCAAAAACAAAGTCTGTTTGACATGCATGAGTCATGCTTTAGTGAATATCAGTCGGCGTTTCCTTTAATTTTGAATGGTGTGTGGCTTTCACAACCCCACAAAAAAAAATGGAGGAGGTTTTTGCTTATTTTTTTTTTTTTGGAGAAAACAAAGAAATTTGCCATATCTAGATTGTTATCATTAGATGGTGATACATTAAAAACCTCTAATTTAAAGTATAATGCCAGGGGTCAAAACATAGGAAAACGAATCTTGAAAGGGTTTTGGTACCTAGCTACTCGAAGTCAGACTCCAAACTTCTATGGAATTGAAACAAAACTTGAAAACACATAGACAAACTTAGATCGAGTTCGGAGATGGTCAATATCGGTACACTCCTCCTGGTACCTCCCCCACAAAATATCAACATTTTCAAAGAACATAATTTACTGCACTGAAAGAAAAGTGATAATCCGATTTTCGTCAAACTTTGCAAATCTTAATATTTGCATCATTGCTAGGTCAGGTCGAAAATGGACAATAATGGTCCACTCTATCAGGTACCTCCCCCACAAAGGGTCAAAATTTGGAATAATTATAACTCTTATAAAATGTGATGTATGAGTGCAATTGTCTTCAAATTACACGCATAACACTATTAGTTATTAACCCAAGGCCTGGTGTGAAAATTGGATATATCGGTCCACTTCTTTTGGTACCTCCCCCACATCCGAAGCTCATAAAACACGAAATTAACATCCGATTCTTTTCAGACGTGACACATCTCAATATTTCCATCAACGTAAGATCTGTAATATAGATGGTAGAGGTCGGACCATTCCTTCTGGTACCTTCCCCACAAAGGGTCAATATTTTGAATAACCAAAACGATCCTAGAATCCAAAATAAGCATCCGGTTCTCTTCAAATTACACACATCACAATATTTTTACTCATCCTAGATCTGGTGTGAAGATGGTAGAGATCGGGACATTTCTTCTGGTACCACCCCCACAAAGGGTCAAAATTCTAAGTATCCATAAAGCTCATAAATCGTGAAAATAACGTCGGATTCCATTCAGACTTGATACATCTCAATATTTCCATCAATACAAGATCTGTTATAAAGATGGTAGAGTTCCGACCATTTCTTCTGGTACCTTCCCCACAAAGGGTTAACATTTTAAATAACCAAAACGATCATAAAATCCGAAATAAGCCTCCGGTTCTCTTCAAATTACACAAATCACAATATTTTTATTAACTCAAAGTCTGGTGTGAAGATGGTGGAGATCGGTACATTTCTTCTGGTACCTCCCCACAAAGGGTGAAAATTTTGATTAACAAAAACGATCATAAAATCCGAAATAAGCTTCCGGTTCTCCTCAAATTTTACACATCACAATATTTTTATTAACCCTAACATCCGATTCATTTCAGACTGGACACATCTCGATATTTCCATCAACGCAGGAGATTTCAATATAGGTCCAGTTTTGGGAATGTCCCCCAAATGACGGTATTCCCAATTGTTTAGCAAATTTTCAATTCTAATTTTCAAATTTATAAACTATCTACTCGTTTTTTGTGGCTATAATTTGATGCTTTGAAATCTTATTAGACCCTGACCTCGATATTTGGTAGATATATGGTTCAAATCTGCATAATTTACACACACATAATGACTTATCCCCCTAGTCCATCTTCCTCAAATTTTTAAGGTTCGGAAATTATTTTCATGTTTTTAATTTCCTCCAACTAATTAAATTATCTAATTTCATAGCATACGCATGTAAAATTATTGATTCGATTACATAGCTTGCAAAGCATCCAGTGATTTAAATGGTTCGAATACTAAATAAGGGCATTAGCACCCAAGCACTCCCCACTGTTCTATTATAATACTATCCCCTCCTCCGGCAATGTTGGTCATTCGTGTCTAATCTACAAAGATAGGCTCCTCTCACTTGTCAATTAATATTAATTGAAAGTAGACCATAAAAAACTACAGCTATTCATAGCTAAGGCGAAGAAAGTGCGTTGAACATTTTCACCAACTGATAAAAGTACGGGAACTTAAAGCAATAACAACAATGTCCCTACTTCAGACTCATATCTAATTTTTTTTGAAGGTAGTAAGTAACAAAGCAAAGATGAGAGGAGGAAGTGGATTTTGAAAACATGAATGGTCTTTGGAGATTATGACACCGTTGTTTTACTTTAGTGGACAACTTGACAAAAACAACAAAAATTAGAAAAAAGAATATGAAGAAAAGGCATTAAGATAATCATTGTTGTTTTGTCCAACTTAAGTTTGGTGTAGGGAACCCAATTTAAAGGCAAAACAGAATATGTGTCCCATTGGCAAAAAAAAAATTTAGCGCATGCGTCATTTTTATGTAGAGCAATAACCGTTAGACAAGTTAGGCAGATTGATGACATGCAGCCAGTTTTGTATCAAAATACCTAACTATTGTTGTTGTCTGCTGAATGAATATAAAGACACAGCTTGTCATTCATGATGTTTTTCTTTTTTTTCGATATTATTTACATGTCTACACAACAATGCATTTATCGGGTTCTTTCCTACATCTTCCTTTCTCCCTCCTCCTCCTAAAATAATATTGCCAATATGGTGTTCTATTACTGAGCAACAGGAATATTGTTGCTATCAGGATTTTCTACGAATTTTCCTTTAAACAATGATGAAATTTCCTTGGAGGTTTTCCAAGGAGTCTGGGTGTGTATGTTTTTGAAACCTGCTCCTTGAGAACAAGAGAAAAGAGGAAGAATTAAATTTTCTCTAGGTGATTGATTTGATTGTTCCTGGAACGAAATTTTTCTGGTCTTTAGAGTTATACACATAGATATGTCCAATTTTACTTACCTACACCAAAGAAGTTTTTGGCGAGGTTGGAAAATGGGATATGAAGAATTCCAATACCGTCACTGAAACCTTCTGGAATAAGTCCCAGGGTACTCTTATAGATAATCGAAGAATATTCTCACAGGCAACCCAGAGATTTTCCCATTGAAGTCTGAGAGACTATCTTTTTACAAAACTAAAAGCTTCACATACATTATTTTTCCATGAATAGGTCACCTGCTTCATTTCCAGGACAGTTTTTGGGCATCTATGTCTCACAACAGACGAAGTGCTCATAAAGACATTTTCAAAGAAGAGTTGTTCTAAAAAAAGGAACAAGGTGTCTTTTTTTAATTTTTTTAATATAAAATAGTCTACGTTTTTTTGGCAAAAAAAGAGTTTCTGCGAGACCATATTTTCCTTTCCGTAATGGCCCATCGAGATTTATTGCTAATATGAATTAGCAACTTCTGTGTTTTATTTCTTGAAAAGCTCATCTCTAGGATAAAAACGTATATAATAATTGACCTTTTTCACATTTTTTCCGGTGTCTTTTTTGTTCTACTTATTCTTCCAATAAAGGGTGTTTAAGAGGTGACCATATATGTTTTCATTTTTCAAATGTAACCTTTTTTCTATATACTATACTATAACTACAGTGCGTAATAACAGTGTAAACTCAAATGCACACATGAATTAGGTTTAATATGTTTGTTTTCTTTTGTCTTTTCTTTCCTTTTTTCGTTCATAATTCATACTTTATCCATTGAAATTGTGATATGAATAAAGCCGCTTTAATGTTGCGTCAAATAAAACGGCGGTCGGTTCCGTTATTAGAAGAAAAAGAGAAAGAAACAAAAGCAAATTGTGGGTGATTAAGTGTTTGTGTGTGTGTGTGTACTTTAATGCTTATTCTGTCATTCATGGTAATTACATTTGTTGTTTTTTTTTCTTGTTTTCTAACACACAACTCATTTGCTTAACTTTTTCCTTTTTTTTATTTTATTATTTTCATTGTTTTCTTCATGCCTTTAAAACCAGTTTTACTTCAATTGAATTAAAAAAAGAGCGTATCGTCGTAACACACGTTTAACAACAACAGCAACACTACACATTGAGGTTAAAGAAGACACCGTCTGTCACTGAGCCATGCATAGAGCAAGCAAGCAAGCAAGCAAATCACGATTCACATAGAGACAATGACAAAAATAATGTGTATGAGCAGCAGCTCTCTTCTCAATCAATGATTGTAACTGAGACTTTTGACTGCTGCTGACTAATACACTGTTGTTACGTTGTTATTGCATATAGGTATTACGTACGGAATGACAGTAGAAAATAAGTATTTGAGAATAAGACGAAAAAACACCACAAAAACAAAAGCCGGCTTTATAAAGTTAATTAGCACTTGAACGATAAAAAAAATATCGTATGGAAAAGGAAATTGTAATAAGAAAAAGAGACCGGGCTGGCTAGTAAGCGAGACTATTGGGAGAACAAGAAGGTGAGAAAAATGTGCTCTCTTGTCGGGTGTCTGGAGAGAGAGCACTTGTGTAAATTGGTTGTTAAAAGGTGGAAATAGACGTAGAAATTTATATATTTTCAAGCAAAGTCATTAAGAAATGTGGAAATGGCTGCTTCCACAATGAAATTCACAAATTGGATAACAGATTTTTAACTATTTTAAAAGAAAGTTATTGTCATTGAATAACTAAAAGAGCAGAAGAAAATAAGTAATTTACTGGCAAAAATAGAAGAAAGTGAATCCAAACCAGTAAGTGGAGGACACTATCGGATGGAACTTATGTTTGGAGCACGGTAGTTAGAGTGCATATTATGACTTTAAGAAGGCTTAAATATCAAATAGTGTTATCCTTATATTTGGGATCATAGAACGTATAAAATTGTTTATTTTTTGGTATTTCTGGTACATTTTATATAAAAAAGTTAATTTTTTCCAGTACATCGGCGATGGAAGCTAACTTTTGACAGATATTACTCTGATCGGAGCTTTATCGTATTATCCAAAATTCACCCTAATTGGACAAACATAGCATGATTTGTGTATCATTTACATCAAATTGGAGGGAATTGAAATGGAAGCTATATATAAACCTGTTAGATTTGATTTTTTGCGATCTCATCGCTTTCTCTGTATTTTGTCTCCTGCCTTCCATGTGATTTTGGTTTCACATGGATTCTACTTCTAGGCATCTCCGAAGCCGTGATCAATGAACCCTTCCTATATCCCTTCTTCCCGACAATTGTGTAACCAGAAGTTGAAATAGCATCTCTATCGTCCATAAAAGTTTATGTTTTTCATCGATCTTTGAGTTTATTGGGCTTCTCCACAAATATAGCCTTTGGCGGCTATGTTTTTGGGCCTACCTTTGAGACCGATGACTGGGTAGAGCAGGCCCCTCCGTAGACGCCTTGGCTATTCGTTCTGGTTCCATCGCATTTTCTATTGTCGATGCAGCCCCAACCCTTATAACATAGATATTTACTCTATACATTTTCCCTTTGATTCCTAGAGCCTATATGAACTTTGTCGTCTAAAACCTTACGATAAGTTACAGTGGTAGAATGTGGAGGAGTACAGAGTGATCTTGGCTATCATATATTCAGACTCGCACAACATTTGAGCTTATTTCTCTGGTTTTCTTAATGTCCTTTCTTGGAGCCTTTCTAACTTGGGACACATCATTTTTTCCAAGTTTTTTTGTTTTCTCCCTACCCTTAACCCGATTTTTAAATTACCTTACAGAATTTTTTCATTCAAAAATCTATTGGCGCATTAAAATTTTACAAATTTTCTTTGCCAAAAACAAAAACCGATAACCTTGAACCCCCAACACATTGCCCCATTGCATTCCTGTTTTTCAAAATAACAATCGTCACTGGTAATCTAAAAATAAATCTTTTATATGGCGTTTGCCTTATAGGCAGTTTGTTTTCCTTCTCCTTTTTTCACTCTTTGATAAAATAGATTTTAAGACAAGGAAGAAATAAAATCACCAACAATAGTTTAGAAATTCAGGCGCCACCGTGATATTTTCTTTTTGTTTTTTCTTGTGATTTTCTTTCTTGAAAAGACAAATGAAAAATCTCTTCTCGATTAATAACATTGTGTGCGAGAATAAAATGTGAATAACAACGCATGCTGCTGTGGCGATAAGCAAAGGCAAAAAGCAAGCTGTCGCCAGCTTTTGTAAAAAAAATTACAATGGCAATGACACGGATAATAAATACACAATGAAAATTATGTGCGAAAAAGAATACAGAAAGAAACACATAAAAGGAAATATGTCTAACACTTCCACACATCCTTTGTGTGACCCAAAATTATGGTGAGAAAAATGAAAATTCTTAAAATTTAATTCAAGCCATTTTTAAAGAAATTCAATATTATTTAGAACCTTTAGAAGTTAATAAAATCATGGGACGGGTGTTATTGTTCCTGTAGGCTTGTGAGAAAGGGGAAACGAGTCGGGATTTGAAAAATGCATAATGGTCTATAGTTCCATATTCCTCCCAGTCGATTTTCCTATCCAGAATTGTTATCATATTTGAGGAAAATTAAGACAAAAAAATAGAATCAAATTAATTTCCAAAAAACTAACTGGTTCCAGGCACCCAATTTCATTGCATTTTAATTAAATTCAAATTCTCTTTGTGTTAATCTCTTTTATTTATTTTTCTTTGTACAAATTGTTAAATTGAGTTTGCTTTGTTTCTTCAAATCTTTATTTCTTTATAAGTAATTTTATTAACGCAAGAAGTTTATTGCACTTTTGTGCTAGGGTAACATCATCACCATCAGTCATGTGCCGTTTGGCATTTTTTTTCGGTTGTTTCTTCAATCTATTAAAACGATGCCCCTTGCAAATTTTGCATTGATAAAAAAATACTGGTTATATTGCCTGACTGGCTGGCTGACTGGTACTGATGGAGACGGGGTGGTACTAATTGCTTTTGTTTGAGTTCTTTTTCTTTTTTTTTTGATTTTTTTGCCTTATCAGCCAAATAAACGCGAGGCATCACTCACTTGTTAAAAAATCTACAGATTTGAATTGAAATTTTCACAAAAACCCAATAGCCGAATACTTATTTTTCCTCTGAGTAAAATATTCTAAACAAATTTCTTTTCATTTTGAAAATAAAGTCTATTTTTCCCCAATTATAAACAATCTTGACCTTGAACTGTTTTCAAATCGTTTAGAGAGGAAAATAAAATGCATTTCGACTAGTTATCTGCGATCATTGTTGTTTCGTTTCTTATCTTCTATTCTAATAAAAGCATATATTTATTGTAGGCCAATTAAAATAATTTTTTGAGGCCTAATTATAGAAACAAAACATGTCTAATGATGAATGACTTTTCGCCCTGGGGCAAATAAAAATGTTACACTGGGGTGTGTAGATAGAATTATTGGAAAACCATGCCATAAATAATAAGTTTTTTGAGCAATTTGATATTTTCAACAAGAAAAAAATTATCGATAACAACTTTTCTATTGATATATGTTGTCGATAAAAAGTTTTTTAGTTAAAAGTTGTTGATAACAACCTTTCGGTTGAGAAAAAGTCTTCGATAAAAACTTTTTTCGAGAGAAAGGCCCTCAATAACAACTTATCTAGGTAGAACATTTATCGATAACATCTTTTCTATAGAGAATTTTTTTCGATAAAATCTGTACTATAGTTATAAGTTGTCGATAACAATTTTTCTATAGAGGAAATTTATCGATAACAATTTTGCTATAGAGAAAAATGATCGATAACAAGTTTTCCATAGAGAAAAGTTATCGATAACAATTTTTGTATGTGGAAAAGTTCTCGATATCAACTTTTCTTTTGAGAAAAATCACGATAGCATATTTCCTATGGAGAATAGTTATCGATAGCATATTTCCTATGGAGAACAGTTATTGATAACAACTTTTCTATGGAGAAAAGTTGTCCATAACAACTTTTCTATGGAGAAAAGTTGTCGATAACAACTTTTCCGAAGAGAAAAATTGTCGATAACAATTTTTCCAAAGAGAAAAATTTTCGATAACAATTTTTCCAAAGAGAAAAATTGTCGATAACAATTTTTCCAAAGAGAAAAATTGTCGATAACAATTTTTCCAAAGAGAAATATTTTCGATAACAATTTTTCCAAAGAGAAATATTTTCGATAACAACTTTTCTATGGAGAAAAGTTGTCGATAACAACTTTTCTATGGAGAAAAGTTGTCGATAACAACTTTTCTATGGAGAAAAGTTGTCGATAACAACTTTTCTATGGAGAAAAGTTGTCGATAACAACTTTTCTATGGAGAAAAGTTGTCGATAACAACTTTTCTATGGAGAAAAGTTGTCGATAACAACTTTTCTATGGAGAAAAGTTGTCGATAACAACTTTTCTATGGAGAAAAGTTGTCGATAACAACTTTTCTATGGAGAAAAGTTGTCGATAACAACTTTTCTATGGAGAAAAATTGTCAATAACAATTTTTCTAAAGGGAAAAATTGTCGATATCTATTTTTCTAAAGAGAAAAATTGTCGATAACTATTTTTCCAAAGAGAAAAATTGTCGATAACAATTTTTCTATAAAGAAGTTATCGATAAAAACTTTTTATAGAGAAAAATTATCGATAACAATTTTTCTAAAGAGAAAAATTATCGATAACAATTTTTCTAAAGAGAAAAATTGTCGATAACAATTTTTCTAAAGAGAAAAATAGTCGATAACAATTTTTCTAAAGAGAAAAATTGTCGATAACAACTTTTCTAAAGAGAAAAATTGTCGTTAACAACTTTTCAATAGAGAAAAATTGTCGATAACAATTTTTTTATACAGAAAAGTTACCGAAAACTACTTTTCGGTGGTTATCGATAGCAACTTTTCTATAGGGGGATTTTTTCGATGTGGAGAAAATTTGTCGATACATTTTTAGAAAAAAAAACTTTCGATAAATTTTCTAGATGCATTTTGTTAATAAAAACTCCGCCGCTAACTTATTCTTTTTTAAGTTCACTTCCCCATATAATTTTATAAAAATCGAGAAAGACCCCCAAAAAAATCTGTACAACTTTCATGAAAAATATTCATTTTCTAATCTTTTATTTTTTCTCTCCTTTTATTTCTTTTCCAGCTCACAAATGTCGGTATTAATATCAATTCGATATCGTTCAGTACTCTCACCATGGAGTCGGACAAATTTATTTGTGTGCGTGAAAAGGTCAATGATACCGCACAAGTGGTCATCATCGATATGAATGACACAAACAATCCGACAAGACGTCCAATTTCAGCCGATTCGGCCATCATGAATCCAGCTAGCAAAGTCATTGCACTCAAAGGTACGAAACATGAATATTTGGAAAACATGATCAAACATGTTACATAACTATCGCAAAAATTTCATTGCAGCGCAAAAAACTTTGCAAATTTTCAACATCGAAATGAAATCGAAAATGAAGGCCCATACCATGACCGAAGACGTAGTCTTTTGGAAATGGATATCCTTGAATACACTGGCTTTGGTGACAGAGACCTCGGTGTATCACTGGTCCATGGAGGGTGATTCGACGCCCCATAAAATGTTCGATAGACATTCCTCATTAAATGGTTGCCAAATCATCAACTATCGTTGCAATCCCAATCAACAATGGCTGCTGTTGGTGGGTATTTCGGCCTTGCCAAATCGTGTGGCTGGTGCTATGCAATTGTATTCGGTCGAGCGTAAGGTGTCACAGGCTATTGAAGGTAGGTTATTTTTTTCTTTTGTGTGATAGGTTCAAAAAAATGCCATAAATTAATGTTGCATTGTTTTTGTTTTCTCCTCCAGGACATGCCGCCGCTTTTGCCTCGTTCAAAATGGAGGGCAACAAGGAACCTTCAACATTGTTCTGCTTTGCCGTACGCACTGCTACCGGTGGCAAATTGCACATCATTGAAGTTGGCGCTCCCCCAACCGGCAATCAGCCGTTTGTCAAGAAATCGGTGGATGTATTCTTCCCACCCGAGGCGCAAAGTGATTTTCCGGTAGCAATGCAAGTTTCCTCTAAATATGATACCATCTATTTGATTACCAAATATGGTTATATTCATCTTTATGACATGGAAACCGGCACCTGCATCTACATGAATCGCATATCGGCCGATACGATTTTTGTTACGGCCCCACATGAGTCGAGTGGTGGTATTATTGGTGTCAATCGCAAGGGCCAAGTGTTGTCGGTCACGGTGGACGAGGAACAAATTATACCCTACATCAATACGGTATTACAAAATCCCGATTTGGCCCTACGCATGGCTGTGCGCAATAATTTGTCCGGTGCCGAGGAGTTGTTTGTGCGAAAATTCAATAAACTTTTTACGGCTGGACAATATGCCGAAGCTGCCAAGGTGGCTGCCCTGGCACCAAAGGGTATTTTGAGAACACCCCAAACCATACAGCGTTTCCAACAGGTACAAACTCCTGCTGGTTCCACCACACCCCCTCTATTGCAATATTTTGGCATCCTCTTGGATCAGGGTAAATTGAATAAATATGAATCCCTGGAATTGTGTCGTCCGGTATTGTTGCAAGGCAAGAAGCAACTTTGCGAGAAATGGCTAAAGGAGGAGAAACTGGAATGCAGCGAGGAATTGGGTGATTTGGTCAAAACATCAGATCTCACCTTGGCCCTGTCCATTTATCTGAGGGCCAATGTACCCAATAAGGTCATACAATGTTTCGCCGAAACTGGCCAGTTCCAAAAGATAGTATTATATGCCAAAAAGGTGAACTATACCCCTGACTATATATTCCTCTTGCGTTCTGTGATGCGCACCAATCCAGAACAGGGTGCCGGCTTTGCCACAATGTTGGTGGCCGAGGAAGAGCCATTGGCTGATATCAATCAAATCGTTGACATTTTCATGGAACACTCAATGGTGCAGCAGTGCACAGCCTTTTTGTTGGATGCTCTCAAACACAATCGTCCCAATGAGGGAGCCTTGCAGACACGTCTGCTGGAAATGAATTTGATTTCTGCCCCGCAGGTGGCTGATGCCATTTTGGGTAATGCCATGTTCACCCACTACGACAGGGCCCACATTGCCCAATTGTGTGAGAAGGCCGGTTTGTTGCAGCGTGCATTGGAACACTACACCGATTTGTATGACATCAAGCGTGCCGTGGTGCACACCCATCTCTTGAATGCCGACTGGTTGGTTGGCTTCTTTGGCACCCTGTCCGTTGAGGATTCCTTGGAATGCCTCAAGGCCATGTTGACCGCCAACATTAGGCAAAATCTACAAATTTGTGTTCAAATCGCTACCAAATATCACGAACAATTGACCACCAAAGCTTTGATTGACCTCTTCGAAAGCTTTAAATCCTATGAGGGTTTGTTCTATTTCCTGGGTTCCATTGTAAATTACTCCCAAGATCCCGAGGTGCACTTCAAGTATATCCAGGCGGCCTGTAAGACCAACCAAATCAAAGAAGTCGAACGTATTTGTCGTGAATCGAATTGCTACAATGCTGAGCGTGTGAAGAATTTCCTCAAGGAGGCCAAACTGAGCGATCAATTGCCCTTGATTATTGTTTGTGATCGTTTCGATTTTGTCCATGATTTGGTCTTGTATTTGTATCGCAACAATTTGCAAAAGTATATTGAGATCTATGTGCAGAAGGTGAATCCATCCCGATTGCCTGTAGTTGTGGGTGGTCTGCTCGATGTGGATTGTTCGGAGGACATCATTAAGAATTTGATTTTGGTCGTTAAGGGACAATTCTCCACCGATGAATTGGTGGAAGAGGTTGAGAAACGTAATCGCCTGAAGCTGTTGTTGCCCTGGTTGGAGTCCCGTGTCCATGAGGGATGCATTGAACCTGCCACCCACAATGCCTTGGCCAAAATCTACATTGATTCGAATAACAATCCCGAACGTTTCTTGAAGGAGAACCAATACTACGACAGCCGTGTTGTGGGTCGTTACTGTGAAAAACGTGATCCCCACTTGGCCTGTGTGGCCTATGAGCGCGGCCAATGCGATCGTGAATTGATTGCAGTCTGCAATGAAAACTCGCTGTTCAAGAGTGAGGCCCGTTATCTGGTGCGCAGACGTGATGCTGAATTGTGGGCCGAGGTCTTGGCCGAATCGAATCCCTACAAACGCCAACTTATCGATCAAGTGGTGCAGACCGCCCTCTCCGAAACTCAAGATCCCGATGACATTTCTGTTACCGTCAAGGCCTTTATGACCGCCGATTTGCCAAATGAACTCATCGAATTGTTGGAGAAGATTATTTTGGACTCGTCAGTATTTTCCGATCATCGTAATTTGCAAAATCTTTTGATTTTGACGGCCATCAAGGCTGATCGCACCCGTGTCATGGACTATATTAATCGTTTGGACAACTATGATGCCCCCGACATAGCCAACATTGCTATCTCGAATCAGCTGTACGAAGAAGCCTTTGCCATCTTCAAGAAATTCGATGTCAATACCTCGGCCATTCAGGTTTTGATTGAACAGGTCAACAATTTGGAGCGGGCCTATGAATTTGCCGAAAGATGTAATGAGCCTGCCGTTTGGTCGCAACTGGCCAAGGCCCAATTGGACAAGGGTTTGGTCAAGGAAGCCATCGATTCGTACATCAAGGCCGATGATCCCAGTGCCTATATGGATGTGGTGTCTGTGGCCTCCCAGTCCGATTCGTGGGAAGATTTGGTGCGTTACTTGCAAATGGCCCGCAAGAAGGCCCGCGAATCATACATTGAAAGTGAATTGATCTACGCCTATGCCCGCACAGGTCGTCTGGCCGATTTGGAGGAATTCATTTCTGGGCCCAATCATGCCGACATCCAAAAGATCGGTGACAGATGTTTCAACGATGGCATGTACGATGCTGCCAAACTGCTCTACAACAATGTCAGCAACTTTGCCCGATTGGCCATTACACTGGTCTATCTGAAAGAGTTCCAGGGGGCCGTTGACTCAGCCCGCAAAGCCAATTCCACACGCACCTGGAAGGAAGTGTGTTTCGCCTGTGTCGATGCCGAAGAATTCCGTCTGGCTCAAATGTGCGGTCTACACATTGTCGTCCATGCCGACGAACTGGAGGACTTGATCAACTACTATCAGGATCGTGGCTACTTTGAGGAACTCATAGCCCTACTCGAATCCGCCTTGGGTCTGGAACGTGCCCACATGGGCATGTTCACCGAATTGGCTATTTTGTATTCGAAATTCAAGCCATCGAAAATGCGCGAACATTTAGAATTGTTCTGGTCTCGTGTGAATATTCCCAAGGTTTTGAGAGCAGCCGAATCGGCTCACCTTTGGTCTGAGTTGGTATTCCTTTATGATAAATACGAGGAGTACGATAACGCTGTTCTGGCTATGATGGCACATCCCACCGAAGCCTGGCGTGAAGGTCACTTCAAAGATATTATCACAAAGGTTGCCAACATCGAGCTCTACTACAAGGCAATTCAATTCTATTTGGACTATAAACCACTGTTACTCAATGACATTCTGTTGGTATTGGCACCTCGCATGGATCACACACGGGCCGTATCGTTCTTTGGCAAGACCGGACATTTGGCCCTGGTCAAACCCTATTTGCGTTCCGTACAATCGCTCAACAATAAGGCCATTAATGAGGCACTGAACGGTCTGCTGATTGAGGAGGAAGATTATCAGGGCTTGAGGAATTCGATTGATGGTTTCGATAATTTCGATACGATTGCATTGGCCCAGAAATTGGAGAAACATGAATTAACTGAATTTAGACGTATTGCTGCTTATCTGTATAAAGGTAAGGGGACTGATCTCCCTCTGGAGAAAGAAGAGACTGGGATTTAAAAAGTATGTTTTTTTTTCAGGCAACAACCGCTGGAAACAATCAGTTGAATTGTGTAAAAAGGATCGCCTGTACAAGGATGCTATGGAATATGCCGCCGAATCGGGTAAACAAGAGATTGCCGAAGAACTGCTGGCCTGGTTCCTCGAACGTAATGCGTACGACTGTTTTGCTGCCTGTTTATTCCAAGTAAGTAATGATGGGGGTTTGGGGGGGGATTCTGGACAATGTTGGTTTTTTGTATTCCCCAAGCTGCGCAGTATTTAAAAAAGGAATGAATTGGGTGCATTTGTAAGTAATGGAGTGACATTTGGAATGGAAGTGCAAATGGAAAAATGTGTATTCTAGATATCCAGAAGAAGAAGGGGAAGTTATCAGAAAATTTTGGTCAAGTTATAAAAATTTGAATTCTTTTTGATCAGGAAGTCTCACGCCACAACATTTGGACCTAGGATTCCAGTTTTTCCCATGTTTGACCCTTCAACATAACCTCAAACATGGCATAAATTGAGAATTTCGTGTTCTCAATGGTTGGGTAATATCTTGAACCCAATCGATGAGGGTTTACCTCCCATAAAACAAAATTGTATGAATTTCAAAAATTTTGGAACATTTTTTTCCCAAATTTTTTTTTCTAAAAATTTTCTCAGTTTGGGGAATTTGAGCTTTTATTGTTCAGGGTATATTCTAAAGAAAAATGAGTTCTCTGAATTTTGTACTTTTTAGAAAGCTGGCCTTCCAATGGTTGCAATTGCAAGTTTCTAGAAAACAACTTCTGACCGGTTTGATCACATTTTTATACCCTCAGCCATATGGCTAGTTATACCCTTCCTGGCTGAAGAGAGGGTATATATATATATATATATATATATATATATATATATATATATATATATATATATATATATATATATATATATATATATATATATATATATATATATATATATATATATATATATATATATTTGATACGGTCAAAACGTGCCTCATCGAAATAACGGGTTTAGACCTTAGGTCTCTTTGGATCAAATCCATTTCAGGACATTTGGAGTCGATCTAACGATGTCCGTCCGTTTGTCTGTCTGGTTGGTGCGCACGATAACTCTCGAAGGGAGTATCCGATTTGATCCCAACTTGGTACATCGTAATATTATTGTCAAACTTAGATCGAGTTCGGAGATGGGCAATATCGCCCCACTCCTTCTGGTACCTCCCACACAAAATCGCAATATTTTCAAAGAAAATAATTTAATGCACGTTAAGAGAAAGGATAATCCGATTTTGCTCCAACTTTGCGAATCTTAATATTTGCATCAGTGCTAGGTCAGGTGTGAAAGTGAACAATATCAGACCACTCCTTTAAGTACCTCCCCCACAATGGGTCAAAATTTTGAATAATTATAACTCTTATAAAATGTGATGTAAGTGTCCGATTGTCTTCAAATTACACACATCACAATATTTTTATTAATCCAAGGTCTGGTGTGAAGATGGAATACATCGGTCCACTTCTTCTGGTACCTCCCCCACAAAGGGTCAAACTTTTGAGTATCCATGAAGCTCATAAAACACGAAATTGACATCCGATTTCATTCAGACTTGGTACATCTCAATATTTCCATCAACACAAGATCTGTTATGAAGATAGTAGAGATCGGACCATTTCTTCAGGCACCTCCCCCACAAAGGGTCGAAGTTTTAAATAACCAAAACGATCATAAAATTCGAAATAATCATTTGGTTCTCTTCAAATTACGCACATCACAATATTTTTATTAACCTAAGGAGTGGTGTAAAAATGGAATATACCGGTCCACTCCTTCTGGTACCTTCCCCACAAATGGTCAACATTTGAATATCTATGAAGCCCATAAAACACGAAATTGACATTCGATTCTATTCGGACGTGGTACATCTCAATATACCCAAAAACACAAGATGTGTTATAAAAATGGTAGAGGTCGGGCCATTCCTTCTGGTACCTCCCCCACAAAGGGTCAAAATTTTGAATATCCATGAAGCTCATAAAACCCGAAATTGACATCCGATTCCATTCAGACTTGGTACATCTCAATATTTCTATCAACACAAGATCTGTTGTAAGGATAGTAGAGATCGGACCAATTCTTCTGGTACCTCCCCCACAAAGGGTCGATGTTTTAAATAACCAAAACGATCATAAAATTCGAAATAATCATTTGGTTCTCTTCAAATTTCACACATTCACATTGTTTTTATTAACCCAAGGTCTGGTGTGAAAATGGTGTATATATCGGACCACTCCTTCTGGTACCTCCCACACAAAGAATCAACATTTGATTATCCATGAAGCTCATAAAACACGAAATTGACATTCGATTCCATTCAGACTTGGCACATCTCAATATTTCCATCAACACAAAATCTGTTATGAAGATGGTAGAGATCGAACCAATCCTTCTGGTACCTCCCCCACAAAGGGTCGAAGTTTTAATAACCAAAACAATTATAAAATACGAAATAAGCATCTAGTTCTCTTCAAATTACACACATCACAATATTTTTATAAACCCAAAGTCTGGTATGAAGATGGGAATTATCGGTCCACTCCTTCTGGTATCTCCCCCACAAAAGGTCAAAATTTTGAATACTCATGAAGTTCATAAAACGTATGATTATCATCCGATTCCATGCAGACTTGCTACATCTCAATATTTCCATCATCACAAGATCTGTTATAAAGATGGTACAGATCGGGCCATTCCTTCTGGTACCTCCCACAAAGTTTTAAATAACCAAGACGATCTTAAAATCCGAAATAAGCACGGCACGTAATATTTTTATCAGTCTTAGGTCCGATACGAATTGGTCAACATTGTCCAGTTGCTTCGAAACACCCTCCCCATAAAGGACCAACAGTTTCAATATCATAACTCAAGGCTGGGGGTATATACGAGTAGAAAACCTTTGTCAGGTCTTTGGTGGAGCAAAAGTAATCCTCCTTTAAAAAAATTCTATAAATTTTACGATTGGCCCCTAATGTCTTAATTACAGCAAAAAACAGACATTCCGATGTTTTTTTCAGCTGTAATTAAGACATTAGGGGCCAATCGTAAAATTTATAGCATTTTCTGATAGGAGGATTACTCTTGTCCCACATGTTATGTTTAAACTTTCCAAAAGACTTGGAAAAATTGCAAACTTATTGAAAAAAAATACACCTTCTTTTTTTATAAAAGTCATCAGCTTCCAGTAGTCCAAAGACCTATCTCTTGGTGTTCTACCATACCAAGTTGCCTTGACCTAGATCCAAATCTCATTATTCTTATACTTATATTTTCATTTGCTTTCTTTTTCAGTGTTACGACTTGTTAAGACCCGATGTTATTATGGAATTAGCATGGAAACACAATATTCTGGACTTTGCCATGCCTTATCTAATTCAAGTGAGTTGGAAATTCCCTTAAATGTTTTTTTTTTTAAAGTAATCATAACGAAATTTTCCAAATCTCGTTTCTAGGTTATACGTGAATATACCGCCAAAGTGGACAAACTCGAACAGAACGAAGCGCGACGAGAGAAGGAAGACGAAACTGTCGAACATAAAAACATTATTAGCATGGAACCTCAATTAATGATCACAGCCGGTCCTGGTATGGGTATACCGCCACAGTATGCTCAAGGTTATGCGACTGCTGGACAGGCGCCTGGTTATGCGCCCAACATGGCCTATCCCGGCTATGGAATGTAGGCTCCTTTTTGTCATTCGTTAAACTATGTGTAAAAAACAAAAACAAACAAACAACTTTTAAGAACCACGAATTAAAATAACAATAACAAAAACAACAACAAAAAACATCAACACAACAAACATCATTAATGTTAACGATAAAACAAAAAAAAAAAAAACAACAACAAGATTCCATGTTTAATATAATTAATTATTATTACTATTATTATTGCATATTATAATTTTTTCTTTACAAAAAAAAAAACACACAAGATATAAGTTCAATTCCAAAACCAACAAAAGTTAAACAAACACTAGACCTCTCATATATATATTACACACAACACCACATACCTACCATCATTATTACAAAACAAAAATGTTTAAAATTTCTCAAAAAAATTCAAGATTTTGTTTGAAATTTACTAAAACAAATATATATATGTATGTTGGTTTCTTTCCCCCGTTTGTTTGTCTTAACTTCCATTTTGGATTATGTTTGTGGATTTAGCATATATATACATATTTTGATAACTGTTTGATTTTCTTCCTTATTTCCTCCTCCCCCTCCCCGTCGTTTTTTTATTTGTATTTATGTTTGCATTACAAATACCGCAAAAAAATAATAAATTTATAATTTATCTCGTCGTTGACTCTCGTCACCACGTTGGCTGGCATTGGAGAATTGAATGCAAAACATTATTTAATCTAGAGAAGAAACAGACAAAAAAAAAACAACAAAAAACAAAACGAACATAGTTTGAGAATATACATTTATTATATTATTATAATTTTTTATTTTACTTTTTATTCTCTTTAAATAAGTTTAAAATTAATTAAAAAATTTAAACAAAAAATAATTAGTAATGCCGCTCCATCAACAAAAAAAAACAAAGTTACAACAAAAATATACGCTCTATTATATATAATCGAACGAAAAATAATAATGATTTTATTTTATTTCATTTTTGCAGGGAGAAGAAGGAAGGTTCTTTTTTTGGTATTCCATTTTGGGTTAGATTAGATTAGAAATAAATTAAGTGTTTTGGGTAAATAAATAATAGGAAGGTAGATGATCCAGTTTTTAAACCCCCAGCCATATGGCTAGAGAGGAGGGTATATACAATTTCATACGGCCAAAAAGGTGCCTCATCAAAATAACGGTTTTAGACCCTAGGTCTTTGGACCAAATCCGTTTCATGAGATTTGGAGTCGATCTAGCAATGACCGTCCGTCTGTCTGCCTGCTGCTGGCTGGTGCTAACGATAACTTTCGAAGGGAATATTGTAATTTTATTGTCAAACTTAGATCGAGTTCGGAGATTGACAATATCGGTCCACTCCTTGTGGTACCTCCCCCACAAAAATGTCAATTTTTTTAAAGAAAATAATTTACTGCACAGAATGAGAAAGGATAATCCGATTTTGTGCAAACTTTGCATATCCTACTATTTGCATCAGTGCTAGGGCAGGTCCATTGCTTCTGGTACATCCCCCACAAAGGGTAAAAATTTTGAATAATTATAACTTTTATAAAATGTGACATAAGGAGGCCGATTGTCTTCAAATTTCACACGTCCCAACAATTTTGTTAACCCAAGGTCTGATGTGAATATGCGATATATCGATTCACTCCTTCTGGTACCTCCCACACAAAAGGTCGAAATTCTTATATGACGGTTATCAGAGACATGGTATAAAAAGCTTTAAGTCAAATTATAATGGAAAACGACGGCAGGATTTTAGTGCAGATATGTAATCCCTTTATGAAAAGTCACAAAGTTTGCCTAGCCTTCTTATGTACTTACACCTTTATATGGGATACGGGTAGTCGCATCGACGAAGACGCTTGAACTGTCAAACCAATTTTGAAATTGTAAATTTTGAATGCAAAATTATCAAAATTTTTTATAAATTATTGAAAAATACACACCACAACAATCTCCAATTGGTGTCGTATAAGAAAACATCAAAAAATCTACTTATTTTTGACAAAACATCTTAAAAATGTTGACATATCAATGTTCCCAAGCGTTGATGCATCTACCTGTATTCTTCTACCATGGTATTTTCATTAGCTATCAAGTGACATTCACAAAGAGACAATCAGGGTCGACAGAACCGAACCGTCACCCTGTGTTTGTTGTTTTAGCGATGTAGCGTGACATGAAATAACGGATGGCGCCTTCATTCTGACATGGCGTTTACAACGAATAAATAATTATACAGGTGGTCTGTTCCAGAACCTTCAAGATTCTACCCGTTTTCCAATTTTCTCCGATATCATAAAGGGAAAAATTTTATCAGGCATTGTAAAACAATAGAGGTGAATTGAATATGGCAACTCTTTTCCGAACTATACAGGTAGATGCGATAACGGTTGTCAAAATTTTTATGTTTTTTTTTTTGTATTTTTAACTTGTTTAACATTTTATTAACAATTGTTTGTTGTTTTTTAATTCTTCCCTTTTTTTGGAAAATAGATAAATTCAAAGTGAGTATTTGTATGTTTGTACACCAATTGCATGTCTTTTTTAAAATTGGAATCTAATCATGAAATTAAAACACAAATCACATCAGAAAACACTGTACAATACCTTCATCTAATTTGGCTTGATTGTGAATGCATAAATATAGGGTAATGTAGTCCGTGGATTAAATGTCAAAATACCAACATTTTTCTTTGTGATGATGGCGAAACCATAATTACACACACCATGGAAATACAATATTTTTTATTAGGAAAGAAATAAATGAAGGTGTGGGTACATAAAAAGCTTGGCATTATGGCAAGGCATATTAATTCCAAATTATAAGGAAAAACGACGGCGGAAATTGAGTGCGAGTCTAGTATTTCTTTATGATATGTCACAAAATATGTCATGTGAAGACCTCAAACTGCTTATTTACTTAAAATAGATCAAAGCTTTAGTCGTGACTTCGGCGACATAAACATAGGGTAAGGTAGTTCATAAATTAAATGTCAAAATAACAAAATTTGTCTTTGAGACGACGGCGGTACTATAATTACACACACCATGAAAATACAATATTTTTATCGGAAACAGAATTAAAATAGGTGTGGATACATAAGAAGCATTTCAATTTGGCTAGGCATATTTGTGTTAAATTATAGGGGAAAACCACGGCGGGATTCGACTGGCATCCCTTTATGATATGTCATAAAATATGGCATGTGAAGACTCCAAGCTGCTTATCTACCCACACTTTAACACAGATTAAAGCTTTAGTCGTGACTTCGGAGCGAAAACACAACACCGTTGCCACTTGTAGCTGACAATAGTGTTGTATTTTAATATTTCGTGCAGGCAAAAATGGCAGAGTTGCATTTTAACGCCAAAGTCACGATTTGAGCTTTTATCTATTTTAGCTTCAAGGGCTTGGTTATTCTCATGGTACAATTTTTTATTTGATGTCCATTAAAATTGGCAAAATTTAAATTTTGCAGTTCTTCCTTAAATATAAGCATACAGCTGGCAAGTAATTGATATTTTTTTTCCGACCTATTATGTAATTTTCACGCCTTTTAAGGTGAGAATATATAAAAGGTTTTTTTTTTTTTTTGACTGGCTTAAGTCATCGGCTGGCTTGTTTGTAGAGGAATAAAGGAGTTTTAGTTTGACATAGTTCGATCTTGGCCCTATGCTCCTTTGTTCATTTACGAAGAAGCCAGAAGCCTTTAGAGGATATAGGAATATAAAAACAAAAACATTAGCCTCATAAGTAATGTAATAGTACGTTTATATATATGAGGGTTAACCCACTGGATTTGGATTTAAATTGTCATATCCATTACTTTTACTTCAAATAAATCCTCTCCAAGTAGGTTAACCCTACAAAAAGTTCTAACGTAAACATGGCATAAGGCTTGATTATAGAATGGTTCAATTTTGTTTCAAAATACCATTTTGTAGCACCAAGTATGAAGATCGAAAATATCACAGCTTGTTTTGCTATAATGCTGGTAGAAGATTGTCATCCCGAATTAAGGCCAACTGGCCTTAATTTCATTGCAGAAAGTGGTTAGAGTAAAGGTGAGAATAGATAATACAATTTTTTGGCTGACTTAAGTCATCAAGGAACGTAGGCCCAAAATCGAACTAAGTCAACCTGAAACTCCGTTATTTCTCCTCGAAGAAGCCAGCCGATGACTTAAGCCAGTCAAAAAAACAATTTATGTACTCTCACCTTAAGTTATCGTTTTATAATCCATATAGGATACCTGCAAGAGTCTACTAATTTTGCAATTTTTTCAGACAGACCAATTGTGACGATTTTCCCAACATTTTTGGCCGGTTATTCTGGGGTTTTGATCCTTAAATACTGACTTAAAATAAAACGTCACTTGAGGAAAACACTTTGCCTAAAGTTGAAGGGTTTAAAGTCACAATTTTTATGTGTTTAAGCTTAAGACAATCTAAATAAAATTCATCTTCCTAAGATATAGAACAAATAACCATTTTTAAGAGCCTAGGAACTCTGAAAATGATAGATTATATGTGATCTTTGTAAAATATGTCACTCGTCACACGTAAATATTTCAGATATTAAAATAGATTTTATTTGAAAAAATACTTCAGAAAAGTGTTGCCATATTCGATTTAGCAAATGAGTCTACCGCTATTGTTTTGACAAGCTTATTCCGTTTTGTGTCTCGAGATAAAATTACAAATTGGAAAATAACATTTCACAATCAAGCCACTACACTACATATACATTTTAAATTTATATTTATTTTTCTAATTTTAAATCATTTAAAAAGTAATTATAAAGAATTTTTTCATCTTTTTCTCCTTTCTTTTAGATACAAATAAACATTCTGAATCTAGAAACAATAGTATTACAAATCATCCAGTTCTCGTTTTTGTTCTGTGAAAGCTGTACAATGCAACAAGACTTTTGAAAAAAAAAAACAAGAAAACGAAACTCTCGACAATGGCCAGCTGCTTCCGTAAACTCAACATCATTCGCATCGGTTATACCCATCCGTGAGCACGCACTTTTTGGTGGAAATGCATGAATATTAACTTTTCTCAATCTAACCCCTGAGAACTTGACAGAAAAATAACTAAATTTCATGGCGGACTTCTCACTCTGTTACAATTTTAAATTTTGGTTCAAAATAATGTGTTCCAACGGATTTTCTATATCAGCTGTAATGGCAAAATTGGTTTACGTTTCATTTATTATTTTACTCTCTAATGTAAACACAGTATAAGATCTGATCATGGCCATGGAATACTGGCTTGGGAACTTGAAATATGAAAAAAAAAAATTTTTCCAAAAATAAGTAGATTTTTATATATTTTCCTAAATGACGACAATCGGAGGTTGTTATGATATACATTTTTTAAAAATGTTTACAAATTTCAATAGTTTATCATTCAACATTTTCAATTTCAAAATTGGTTTGACAGATCATTGCCCCAGCAGCTGTGTCGATGCGACTACCGGTATACTTCTACCATGATCAGACGAAAAGGTAAAATTTGTATACTTTTCATTTATCATTGTACTCTCTAATGTAAACATAGTATAAGATCTGATCATGGCACAGTAAACAGATTCTCCTTTTATTACCTTATTGTGATTGAGATGACAGTACAATAATATTAGTAAATAGTAAATGAAACGTCACACATTTTTTAAACGTCAGGTGGAATACATTATTATTTCAACATGTGGCAACACCATGTTAAAAGTAGGTAGTCGCATCGACACAGCTGCTGCGACAAAGAACTGTCAAACTAATTTTGGAGTTTCAATTTTTGAATGAAGAATTACTCAATTTTTTAAAAATTGTTAAAAAAAATCATATCATGACAACCTCCGATTGGTGGGTGTTGTATGGGAAAACGTATACAAATCTACTATTTTTTGAAGAAACATTTGAAAAGATTTGTCATTGTTCCCAAGCGATAATGCATCTACTTGTATTCTTCTACCATGACATTCGTTTAATGTTCCATAAATTATTCATGCACAATAACTTGAAAGCCAGGAAAACATAACATCCCACAATAAATTATATACATCCAGTTCAGAAAAACTATTATCTTATTAATTTTAATAAAAAAAATTAGAAAATAACCCATTTGTAATTTATTTAAAAATTAAAAAAAAAGAAATACAGTTGCAAGAAATACAAATTCCCCGAATGGGAAATTGTTACATATTTAATTTAACATTTCCAATAGAAATCCTCATATAAAATAATTAAATTCAAATGAACAAAAAACTAAAATAAAATATAAATAATAAATTAAATATTATATTAATTAAAATAAAATATTGTTTTTTTATTCAAAAATGGTACAAGTTTGTTGTAATGTTTCTTGGAATATTGGGAACAGAGTACAGCAAGTGTATTCTCAATGCATATTTTCCCAATGCCTACCAGAGAGACATAATGAAAATTTAATTTCCGAGTTAATATCAGGCCTCAAAACTATATTTTCTATGAATATATTTTGAAAGACTCATAAATCACTAAGGAGTAGATTTTTGGAAGTCGTTTCTGGACCAAACTAATCACAACAAAAAATATAAGTTTTTTAAAATGTTTTTAAAAAAACTCAATATTTTTTGAGAATGCTGAGAATTTTAATCATCAGCCAATAATATATAAAATATAAAAGATATATAATTCTTTAGCTATATTCGCTGATTTTGTTTTTGGGGAACACTTCCATTTCTGTTTCGAAACTTTCCCTTTTTTGACTTCTAAGAACTATTGTAATATTTTTATCAACCATTTTTTTTAATTTAATTTTAATTTAAGATTCCTTATATAATTTGTTGTTGGGAGTAATTTCCATTTATGTTTTTGTTTCGAAACTTTCGTTTTTTTTTTTTTTTGTTTTCCAAGATATATCAGAATTTTAATAATCAACCAAATAATTTTCCAAAATTTAAGATTTCTTAGCAGCCTTCTCTGATTTTGTTTTTGGCGATAGCCAAATTTATTTACAAATATATGATTCTTTAGCTATATTCGCTGACTTTGTTTTTGGGGAACATTTCCATTTCTGTTTCGAAACTTTCCCTTTTTTGACTTCTAAGAACTATAGGAATTTTTTTCATCAACCAATTTTTTTTAAATTTAGGATTCCTTATATATTTTGTTGCTGGGAGTAATTTCCATTTATGTTTTTGTTTCGAAACTTTCCTTTTTTTGTTTTCCAAGCTATATCAGAATTTTAAAAATCAACCAAATTAATTTCCAAAAATTTAAGATTTCTTAGTAACCTTCTCTGATTTTGCTTTTGGCGACAACTTCCATTTATCCTGTTGCTTTGCACATTCCTTGTTGACTTCTATTAACAATTCAATTTCATCCTTAATATAATCCAATTGCTTTTCGATTTCATTACGTTGATACAGTGGATCCATATCTGTTGAAAAAATAAATTTTAATATTCCAAAGTGGTTGTCTTAAAAACCAAATCTTACTTCTCCTTTTGCATAGCAATCGATACATATAATGGATACCATCCAAGGCCCGATCCTTATTCAAGTCATGTGTCGCAACAGTATCCTTGGCATTGGCCATAATTTTCTCCCATTTCGAGCATTCTGCGCGAGCTTCATTATAGGATCTTTCCAGTTCGGCCAGATCATTTTTCAAGCCCAAAACTGTAAGAGCTGCCTCATTGGTTAGCTTGACCATACGCTTGCGCATTTCCTCAATTTCTTGAAGTTTCTCCTGTTCCAAGCGGGAAATTTCCACTTGGGCTAGCACTAAAAATTATCAATGAAAAATAAATAAAATTAAAAGTCTAATTTTTTAAAGCTCAGGGAATATGGAAGTTATTTGTCATAAAACTTACTCAACGCATCACATCTATCCATGCAATCTTTCACCGACTCAAAAATATCCGACTTTTCAACAACTTCTTCCAATACCTTTTCGTACGGCTCAAATTCCTTAACGGTGGCCTTCAAGACATCACGGAAATGGGCTAAGGACAAAATAACAAAAATTAAACCCAATATATTTTTTTGCATTCAATACTCAAACAGTCGTTTACTTAGTTCCTCAATGCTAGTTTTATATTGGGCGATTTTTTCCCTCAACTCTTTATGCATGGCCGTCTCCTCGGCCACCTTCTTCTCGGCTATGCGTTTCTTATCGGAACAATCCTTTATGAAATTGTTGACCTCAATGAAACGTTTACGCAAATTTGCATGAATTTTATACAATTTGCGTATACGAGCAGCATTTCCAGCGGCCTGGGTTTTAGCATTTGCAAGCATTTCATCTTGCAGACGCATCATGGCCGCATGTTCACGTTCATTGCGTATGTAGAGCAGCTCTATGGAATCCCCGGCTGAATCCCAATTTGGTGGCTTGCTATAGGAATTGCAAAAAATTATTGTTTCTATTCTCTCTATTGCCTGTTTATTCATGCTTACACAAAGAACTCCTTTTGCTGCTTGGATTCAATGTAATCGCCAACAGCCTTTTCGGGGCTTAAATCCAAGTTTCCTATCACATCTACTTTGGTTGTTGGCTTAAGACGTGGCATTTTAATAAATTTCAATGATTTTTTAATAACTTTTTTCAAATAAATGTTAAAAAGATATGCTTGTTGTTTTAAAGTCAAATTCTGCCGTTATGACAACCAATTGCCAATAGGGTTGCCAAGACATAAGAAAATGTAGGGTTGTATACATATATGATAGCATAGGAAGTGTTTAGAAACATAAAACCATGTTCAGACGATGATGTAAAACTGTTTTACAAATAGCCACGCAGAATAAAAGGCAAAAATATTACATTTTGTTATTTCGAAGAAGCAAAAGACAGAAAGAGAATGAGAAATTGTTGTTATACGTCGCTTGGATATTAATTTTTTAGTTAAAAATATCAATTCCCCAATGTTTGCTTGTTAGAAACCTTTATTAGTTATTTATTTGGAAATACTATTTGGTTGGATCATGAAAGAATCGACTATTTCTTTGGAAATTAAAAAGGTACAATTAGGGTTTGGACAGTACAACATCAAACTTTCAGATTTTACCTTCGAAATATATTCTCATCTTATGTGGGAGAAAATTGCAGATTTTTTTATTGTATTTATGTCAATTTGCAACCCTGATGCAAACCACTTGGGAACATTTTTCAGATTCTTTTTCATCAGATTTTTTAGTGAATTTATGTCAATTTGCAGCCCTGATGCAAACCACTTGGGAAAAATGTTCAGATTTTTTGTGATCAGATTTTTTAGTATATCTACAGGGTGAGATAAAAAAACTGCAACAAAGTCAAACGCCATAATTTGTAATTTTTTTTAAATTTTATTGATTAAAAGCAAAAAATGTCGGAAATAGCATCAAAGATTTGATTTGTTTGAATTGATCACCTTTTGACACAAATTATGGCCTTCAGACGGCCAATGAAAACGTCACACGCATGTTGCTCTGCGGTATTTTGGCCCATTCCTGGCGAAGCGCTTGCTTGAGGTGATCGACACTTTGATATTTTTTAGTGCCAACCTCGCTTTCCAAAATACTCCAGACACAATAGACCAACAGATTGGTATCCGGAGATTTTAGTGGCCATTCTGCGCTGGAAATGAATAAAGGAACCTCATTTTGTAAACATTCTTGGGTGGCGCGTGCTCATTGCGATGATGCTGAGTCCTGTTGGAATGTCTAAGGTCTGCGGCCAAAATGTTTCCGTGCGTGTTTGTTAACTGCCGGACAACGAATGTTTTCTCATCGGAGAAAATCAAATTCGGCAGTTCACCACTTTCGGCCAAGCGAAACAACTCTTTAGCTCTTTTGAGTCTATTTTCTTTCTTTTGCGGTGTAAATTCTAGCACTTTTTGGAATTTCAATGACTTTACCCCGAGCTCATTTTTCAATATTTGCGAATGCAATATTGCGATATGTTCATCTCACTAGCCATTTTTCGGCCACTGCGACGCGGGTTTCGATCAAGTCGCTTCTTTACTTTTCGAACCATTTCGGCAGATGTTGCTGTTTTCTTCCGTCCATTTCCTTAATGTCGGGCTACGCTACCAGTAACGAGCGATGGTACGAGACACAAAAGATTTATTCACATTTAAATGCTGGAGTGCTTTAATGATAGCCTCTTGTGGTTTTCCAGGGAAATATAAATAAATCACCCTATCACGCATAACTTTTAACTTTATTTCTGGAAAATTCTCACCAAAATGCTTTTGTACGGTTGTAAACAATATATAGAGATGTCACTGGAATAATTTTAACAGCTGTTGGAAGAGTGGCTTAGACATGGCAGTAGTACGAAGTTGGTTGCAGTTTTTTATTGTCACCCTGTATATCCCTAAAGGTTTAATTCGCTACAAAAACGGCACATTTGTTGCAATACGCATTTTGAAAACATCCGAATTCGCATATTTTCTGAACAATTTTTTTTTTTATTATTGAAAAGAATACACACACATAAACAAATAAAGTTGACACATTTTTAATATTTTATTTATTATTTTAAAATGATAGATAATTTCCAATACAAAGGAGGCAATTTAGGAAATTAGATCAGAACCTGTAAGGGTGCATGTACATAAAAGGCTTGAAGTCAAGGCTAGGCATATTAATGTCAAGTTATAATGGATAACGACGGCAGGATTTTAGTGCGACTCTGTACTCCCTTTATGAAATGTTACAAAATATGCCTATCCATGACTTCAAGCTTCTTATGTACTTGCAGCTTAAGAATCTAAAAAATATTTCCATATTTTTTATGTAAAACTGTCAACTTCGAGTGACTGTGTGCATTCTACTTTGAGAACTACACACACTGTCAGTTATGATTGCCATTTCTGCTCAAATATCGATTGCTTTGCACGATGGCAAGAAAAACCTAGTGAACCCTACAACTTGTAAGACGTACCGATTTTCGCTCCAATAAAAGATAAAAAAAATAAATTCAGTCTAGTAGACTTTGTAACAATAAATTGTAGCCCAGGCATCTAAACTTGCATTTATTTGCAATGGAGGTGCCTGAAACTCTTCCAGATATGGACCTTGATGTTACAGAAATAGTTGCAACTACTTCTGATCATCCCTTACCGGCGTTAGCAACAACAAAATTGCAAACAAAACAAAATGAGCGCAAAAGACAAAGACTGGAAAGCGTTCTGTCCCCCATAAATGTAGACATTTCTGATTTAAATAACCAGTTATTGAAACATAACATGCAAGACGACAATAGATTTGGAATTCTAGGAGCCCTTGCAGACATCAACATTGAATTGCCAAATCAAAATGATACTAATCAAAAACCCCAAAATCACAGCGTTGTTGAGCCAAAGACCAAGAAAACCTGGTGTCCTCCAATTTTTGTATTTAATGTGGATATAAATGCCCTAGTGGAGACCTTACGTAAATCCGTCCCAGAATCTTCGTTTAAAATAAAAAACGTTAACAGGGCAAAAAGCAAAATCTACTTTGCAGACCCAAAAGTACATGCCTCAATGATGGCTATACTCAAGGCCAAAAACGTACACTCCTACTCATTTACACCAAAGGAGCTTAAACAAGTCCCACTAATAATAAGAGACCTGTATCCAAACACAGATCCGGGAAATATCAAAGAGGAACTCGATATACTTGTTCCAAATACAGTGGCAAACGTAACGAAATTTAAAACGCCGAGGTCAATAAAAATGAACACCGACACGGGTCTTTTCCTAGTAACATTGTTGCCAGGCAAAACTTTCGGAGAAGTCTCCCATATACGTGGTCTACAAAACCAATCCATCTCCTGGGAAAAACCCAAAAAGAAAGAAGGCGATCCACAATGTCGTAGATGTCAAGGTTATGGCCACATATCCAGGAACTGCAACACTCCATATAAATGCGTAAAGTGCCGCGATGTTCACCTCCCAGGAGAATGTCAGCGTAAGAAATCTGACACCTCAGAACCCTTCTGCGTAAATTGCAACAAATCAGGGCATCCCGCAAACTATAGAGGCTGTCCGGCATACAAACAATACATAGCTGCCAAAAAGAAAAGAACTACTAAAGATATAGAAATTAAGAACATTGCACAAAACAACGTCAAAAAAGTCATAAATTCGTCCGATACTTACCATGGAAATTCTTTTGCAAGTCTTTTTAAACCGAACTCGGCATCTACGAACGGAAACATTCCAAAACCATCACTGATACAAGATTTTTTAAAACTTGCAAATTTATTCCTTGATCCTGAAGAACTAACATTAGAAGAAGAAATTCAATTGTTTTTAAATAACTTTAAAAACATGCCAAAAAATGAAGCCAAGAAGGAATTTTTGAGGCTTCTTACAAAAGTTAGGACTAATTATGGACCATAGGCTCATAAAATTCCTAACATTCAATGTTCGCTCACTTGTTGAAGCGAGTCGTCAAATTGAGCTGAAAAATATTCTCCACAGCGAAAAAATTGACTTTGCTCTTGTTCAAGAATGTCACCTTCGAAGGAACCGTTACGTCAAATTAGACGGATACAAATTTATTTACGACAACTCACCTATTGGAACAGCAGTAATAGTGAAAAATGACATAACTTTCACTCGAATACAAAAAAACGATATTGGCATTAATACTTCTTTCATACAAGTAGAAATTTCTTCAAACAACGGACCTAAAATGTTCTTGATTGGCACGGTATATATACCTTGCAGTTATCCTGTCAACAGTCTCGAAGCAGATCTAAATAAACTTTTGGAATTCTGTACTTCTTTTGATGGATTTATCATCGGTGGTGACCTTAACTCCAAAAATCCTGTATGGGGTGATTTAAACGAAAATTCAAATGGTAAAGTTTTGTTTTCATGGCTAAGCAACAACTCCTTAGATGTCACGCGGCTTTGTGACACCTCGCCGTCATACCCAAATGGACCGTCTTACTTGGACCATTTCTTAATCAGCCCACATCTAATAAACCATGGAATTCAAAACTACCACATATCTTCGCTTCCGACCTTTTCGGATCATTTTCCAATAAAACTTTCTTTGAAACTCGATGGTTCCAATCTAGTTCTGAAGCAACCAAAATTCTTCACATCTTACAAAAATACAAACTGGCATGATTTCCGTAGAAATTTGGAGACAATAACTCAACAAATTATGCCACCGACAAATAAAAATCTCGAAAACAATGAGATTGAAATGATCATCGAGAACTTCAACAATGAATTTAACAGCATTCACAGCTCTCATTCAGAAAAGATATTCATAAAAGACGGAAAATTCCCTCTTTCCGATAGAACTAAAAACTTTCTTAAAGTCAAACACCAATGGCAGAAAGAACTGAAAAAAATTTTCCACCGTACAGGAAACAGAATCAACCGTGAGTACATAATTCTCTCAAAACAAGTTCAATTACTTAAAAACATAATAAAGGAGCTCATAAAAATAGAATCTGCCAACATGTTTAGCAAAAAGCTGGAAAAAATCAAACCCGGACCATCAGCTTTCAAAAAAATTTCCCAATTTACAAAAAAAACAAACTCATCTTTTTGTCAAAAACTTCAACACGGCGACGGTATTATTACAAACAACACTGAAATTGCAAATAAGTTTCAATTATTTTATTCATCAATTTTCATAGAGAAATTGCCTCTACATCCAGTTCACGATCTGAATTCCAGGGTTTCATCGTGTATTGACGCCACAACACCTTACATTTACACTTTCAATGACGAATTCAATGTCCTGGACAATCCCGACTCCCATCATTTTACTACTCCTGAAAAAGTAAAGAGTGTTATTGCTACTACCAATTCAAAAAGATCTTGTGGATCCGATGGCATATCAAACTTTATACTTAAAAAATTTCCGGACTCAACAATAAGATTTTTCACCTGTCTGTTCAACAATTGCATCAACAATGGGTATTTTCCAATACAATGGAAACGCGCCCAAATCATCCCAATTAAAAAAAAGCCGAATGCTGTGTTTGTTGATGACTTTCGGCCAATTTCGTTGTTGTCCAACATTGGGAAAATCTTCGAGTTAATCCTGAAAGAAAAAATTTTGAATGAACTCACAATAGATCCGACCTCTGTCTACCAATTTGGATTTAAACCCGGACATTCTACCCAACATGCTCTTCTCAAGTTCCATAACGATATAACTTCTAATTTGCGGAACAAAATGTGTACCGTGGCAATATCGTTAGACATTCAAAGAGCATTTGATTCAATATGTCACGTCGGAATTATTTACAAATTAATAGAAATTGGCATTGACCCATATTTAATAAAAATTATGAAAAGTTTCTTCACATCAAGAACGTTTTCCGTCCACATAAATGACGCATCATCACCTCCAGGAGAAGTAAATAGCGGAGTTCCACAAGGCAGTATTTTGGCACCATTTCTCTTCAATCTATTCCTTCACGACTTCCCTCACATTAGTCAAAACTCAAAAGCAATTTTATACGCCGATGATTGCCTCATTTATGCGCATCACACATCACCATCAATTGCATTAAATAACGCAAAAAATCACCTTCAGAACATCAACAGCTACTACAAAAAGTGGGGTATACAAATAAACGCCGCGAAGTCTGTTGCAATCTGCATACGTAACGCCTCCGGAAAATGTCCATGGTACGTTGTCCCAGAGAGCAAATCACTACAACTGTCCTTGGATGGCGTAAACATACCATTCAGAACCTCTATCAAATATCTCGGCATCCAATTCAACAACTTAATGAAATTTAATTTCCATGCCCGCTCAATCATGAAAAAAGGAAAAGGTGTTTTAGCAAGATTTGCATATGTGTTAAACAATAAACACCTACCTCAAAAAACAAAACTCCTCCTCTACAAGGTAGCAATCCGTCCTATTTTGCTCTATGGATTTCCGATCTGGTTCTCTGTTTCCCCAACAGTGGCCAAAGAATTAGAAGTCCTGGAAAGAAAAATTATAAGGAAATGTATCAACAAAAACTTCATCAATGAACATAAACGATACTCAAACACCCACATTTATACTGCGTCAAATGTTGTTCCTCTTTGTGAATATGCCCAACGCCAACAATTAACATTCGTCGAAAAACTTGCCACGCATGAAAACTATCTGATGAATGAAATTTATGAAATTGAAAAAGAAATTTCCTGGTCACAATCCTCCTACCTATCATCTGTAGGAATTTTGAACGAATCGCTTGAAAGCCTTCTTGACCACAACTTGCCACAATTCTACCAAAAAATCGCGTCTGGCTGTCACAGAGGATAGATAAATAAGTTTATTCTTATTTACATTGTATACTATATAGCAACTTAATATACCACATAAGGTTCCATATAATTGTTTTTACATATAAGCTCACTGAGCACTCGATTATTATTATATGATACATTTATCTGTGATAATGTTATTTTACTACACATAAAAAAAAAGCTCTTTGAGCACTCGATTAACTGTGATAAACTATACATTAAGCATACAATTATATTTAAAAACTATCACTTTTATACCCTCTGTTCGACACTGTTTTAACAGACCACTTTGTTATTTAGTTTTTTAGTTTGTTTTGATTCCTTATTTATTATTACTGCAGACGTCAAAGCGCTGCTCGTATCAGCGGAGGCCGGGAGCAAGCCTCATTTTCTCTTTTCACCTTGCACGAAAAATAATACATTCTCATATTACGCTAAGTAGCATATCTTTACGACTTCACTGTATAATAGAACAAGACGACTATAGTTCTAAGTTAAACATGTTAACCATTCGATTTGTACGTACATTTACCAAAGAAAAAGAAGAAGACTCTAATAAAGTTTACTTTACTTTACTTTACTTTACGATGGCATCTCTTGCATTCTCTCATACATCCGGCCACACCAGCAATCGATTTATCGATAAATCTAATGTCGACTTACGCATCCCTTGGCAGCAGCAGTCAAAAAAATGCGTTCATTGTGATTGGTTCGATTTCAAGTTTCGTCGGTAAGCGAGAGAATAAACCAAAAAAAAAATAAAAAAAAACAGACACGGTAAATCATGCACGGGTGATACAATCAATATATTTTTGGAAAAAGAAAACCCAAGAGTTAACCAAAAAATAATGCAAAACTAAAGAAAAAATTAAAGGAAATTTATTGGAGGAAATATAAACGCGAGCAGGAATGCAGAAGTGTGTGAAAAAGTGCTGCATTTGAAAAGAAAACTCCACAAAATAAAAAGAAAGCAAAAAAAATTGCCGAAAAATAGAGGAGATATTTGCTGGTCTTCCAATGTTTTGTGACAAATTCTTATTGGGAATTTAATTCCTGATCGCATTTGACATTTTTTTTGAGAATGGAAACGAAATGAAAATTCCTCCACACCCTTTTGTGGTGGTGCTGTTGTTGTTGTGCTCACTGCAAAATCATTTTTTTTAGTTTATTGGGTTATTTTTGTATATTTCTTCTTTTCGCTTCTCCGCTGACTCGCGTGTGTATTTGTTTGTGTTGCCAGTGCTGCTTGTTGTTGTTTTATCTTGTCTTCATTTTACGCCGATTAGAAACTAATTGGATTTGTGTGGTTTTGTGCGTGTTTTGTTATTTTTTTCTCCCTCTCGTATTTCATTTGTTTTTAAGTTTTTATTTTTTCGGGTGGAGAAATAATATTAACAACAGCAACAACAAATGTGATTCACTTATACAGCGCGCAAAAGGAGAAGAAGCTCCATCCAAAATTACCCCACAAGATAAAACAGAAAACATGTGAAGAAGTAGAATATAAAAAATCGAGGAGATGAACAACAGCAACATGAAGAATAAATGATAGACGTGTTTTGGCCAGTTCAGCTTGACCCAGCATCCATCCTTTGGACTGACAAAAATATGTTGGGTTAAAAAAAAAACGCGCGGCATTGTTCCAACAAACCAAAAATATAATGGTCGATAAAATACAAATATAATGTTCCATAGCATGTGCTGAAGACCTGATGAAACGGAGAATACATGACAACGGTCAGGGTCGTATCCTAGTGACCAATATGTAAAAATGAGTCAGATGTGCAGGGTCATCACTGTCAGAGCAGCAACATATCGTGATTCACAATTCCAGCAGACAGCATATGGGGTATACCAAATGGTGCCCTACGCCAGCATCTTTCTGCGGTCAAAAAGGCCAAGCTGACCTTACTATCAAATAGATCAACTCTGGATGTATATCCTAATGTTTTACCAGATATAAAATAATCAAATCGTTGATGATATTTCCTTTCTGAGCAGGCAGGAACCAATAGCTAGATCTGGCCGTTGTGTATCTGCTACCCTTAAATCGTGAGGTCAACTTCCTGCACATAAGGAAGAAAAATCTGTCTGGAAATACTCTACTCAAACATCGTTCTGCGATCGTAGAGGTCGATAAACCTCTGACCTAACAGCCAAAAAGTCCTGAATAACTAGATCAACTCTAGATCTGGATATATCTATCATCCTCGATTCTTGCCAGGTCACAACTAATGAAAGCGTAGAGCCTTGAAATACTCTACTCGAACATCGTTCTGCGATCGTCGATTATTCTCTGACCTAACGGTCAAAAAGTACCTGAGTAACTAATTCAACTCTAGATTTGGATGATCCACCATCCTCAATTCTTACCAGCCCAAAACTAATGAAAGCGTTGAGACTATCTGCCTCCTGTCCAGGCAGTGGCCTTACAGTCAGTAGCAGGGTCTGATCGATGCCTACCTAATGCCGACCCTAAAATTGTTAGCGCAAGTTCTATTGGGCCAAGCACTGACACATGAGGAAGAAAAATGTGTCTGGAAATGTCCTACACCAACATCGTTTTGCGATCGTAGAGGACGATAAATTTCTGACCTAACAGTCAAAAAGTCACTGAATAACTAGATCGACTCTAAATCTGAATTGATCCACCATCCTCAATTCTTACCAGGCCAAAAATAGTCAGAGCGTTGCGTATTATTGCCTTATGTGTGGTCAGGTCGTTAATGGTTCTGAGACCCTAAAATCGTGGAAATGTGTTCTATTGGGCCAAGCGCTGTCACATAAGGAAGACAAACGTGTCTGGAAATTCCCAAGGAGGACAGAATTTATTCTATCTGTCTTGCATACCTTTAGTCATACTTTTTTCCTTAAGTTCAGAGGACCGAGACTTTTAATTGTTGGCAGAATTCATTGCAAGCTTTGCCCCCAGCTCTCATTTTTAAGATGTCAGCACTTTCTAGCTGGCTAAATCATGATGAAAAGACGGTTGGTGGCTTTACTGAATATGGAAGCATAAATAAATTACAGATAAATCTGTAAAAAAATTGCTTTCATTTTTCGTCAACTGTGGAACCAGCTGATTTTGAAGAAATTAGTTTCCATTTCCGGCATTTACATTTGGTATTTTGTAATTTTTTTGTTTTAGACAGTACTTTGAGTTAGGAAACTACAGCGAAAAACAGGAGAATCTCAATTAACGTGGATTTTTAAAATATTTTCCAGTACCTCCAAAATTGGATTTTCCTTGCCTTAGGTCGCCAAATGGGGATTGTGATGGGATTTTCGTAGTTCCTAATCATATTTAATAATACTAGCTTTGTGTGAACAAAAAACCATCGAACTAAATTAGAATATCTTCTCAAATTCCCCCTCTGCATTTGGCTACATGACGAACCACATATCTGTTTTATTTATAAATATTTTCACAGTAAACAATTTAATTAGCACCTTATGGACAGGTTAATAGCTTTGCAGAAAATATCTTCATTATCATCATCAAGTTTTTCTTTGTTAATCAATTCCTAAAAATATTATTTCCGGTAGCTACCAACCTAGAAAGGAAAAGCAAAAAAAAATTAAATTAGGATCACATGATGATGGAAAGCAGTTAGGATACTTGAGGTTACCACTAGGTATAACCACAATGTTTCCTTGGGAAAAAATTCAACAATTTTTAATTCTTCTTTTCAGAAATCTGGAGTATTTTATGATACCTTAAGTCCATTCCTTGGGTAATCCTAACCATTCTTTGTCTACTTTTGAAAAAAAAAGAATTGTTAAGATATTTCCCAAAAATATTTTTTAGCTTTATTACCTCGACCTTTACGTGTTTCTCCCGAAAATCTATAGAACTTCTCAATACATGCCCCTTTTTGGCACTTCTTTCCATTTGCATAATGGATCTTTTCTCCGATATTGGCAAAAATATATTCAAGAGTGGTCCGCAGTTCTAAATGTGTGGTTCGTTTTGGTGTTGGGGACATCGCTTCTTACTCTCAGGTCCACCCTTTCGTCTGCTTTTAAATTAAAATTTAGTTTATTTCTCAAAAATATTTTTTCCATAACCTCAATATTTACTTTTCGGAAATCTAAACAAGTTTCCATCTCCAAGTTCCTTTTATTCAATTCTTAGTGTGTGATTACCGCCTTTTTTAATTCTGGCTCGTGCTATGGATCTTTAAATTTGATATGCCCTGGCCATAACCACAAATATCAATGCACGCGACTGCTGCTGAGTGGATCATGAGCTCCTTCAATGTTTGTGGTTTTAAACTTATTTATGTTGCTCTATTACACTTCCTACAAATATTTATGCCTAGCTTTATACATTTTTTACATTTTCTTTTTAGATTTCATGTGAATTTTAATTAAAAGCAAAGAACAGAAAGAAACTACAAATTCTAATTGTAAACAATATTTTCAACTTTACTCCAATTAGAAAATTATTCTCCAAGTGAAACAGTGAAAAGAGAGAGAGAGAGAAATACAGAAAAAAAATTCTCAGTGGTGTTCTGTCCCCGTGAGAGAGTGAGAGAAAGAGTGTGTGCGCTTGTGTTGTTATTGTTGCGTGTGTGCAGTGCACTTAAGAAAAAAAAAAATAAACCCAGCAACAAATTCTTTAGCGAAGTGTGAAGTAATTCGTAAAAACAACAAAAACCAAACGACGTCAGCAGCATTATTCATGCCAAAGGCGTAAGAAGCGGCACCGACGAAAAATAATTAAATAAACAATTAAATAAATTTTAAGTTCCTTCAAAAGAAAACAAAAAAAAAAAAACATAATTGCCGTAAAGAAGCAAGTGAGAGCGTTACATTTCTCACCAGAAAAAAGAGAGCAACAGACCAAACAAACCAACAAGTGACATCAACATCGTTAATCAACAATAATAACAACGACGGCGACGACGACGCAGCAGCATCAGCATCACAACACTGTAATCAGAGTAAATCATTCACAATGGCGGATTTTGATTTAAATGTGGACAGTTTGATACAGCGGTTACTGGAAAGTAAGTAAACAGTGAAATTATTTTATTTATCTAAATTATTTCAATTCATTTAAAAGGCTAGGTGCAAAGTTTTTATATTTTCTTATTTTTTTACACATTTTCACAAACAAAAAATGTAAAAATGCAATGTAAAGCAAATGCTTGATGTGGGCTTTTGCACTCACAAACCAACACCCCACCAGCCGCTAGCAGGAATTTTTTTGTAATTTGTGTAACAAATCTTAGGCCAGAGACCCGAAATGTGCACTAAAACGGTACTAAAGAATTATTTTATTGTATATTTTGTTTAATTTTATGATTTTCTTGTTTTTTTGCAATTTATTAAGATCATTCACAGTAGTTAAGAAGTTCATCGCTGTAAAGGATTTGTAGAGGGCGAATAGAATATTCGGGTTATACGCAATATACGGTTAAAAAGATTTGAAGGAGATCTTTTTGGTATAGAATGTTTGCTGGATATTTTCCAGAAATGGACAGTCTTTTGATATTGGATATTGATGTCCCGGGAGATATAATATAAACAGGTCTTCGACATAGGATTTTAGAATTTGCATAGCAAACATTAGCCCAGAGCTCGGAAAAGAAGTATTTGTTGAAATTATTTGTTTATGACTTTTTAAACTAATATTGTGTATCATTCACAATAGACCATTCTAAGATGTTTATCTCTGTAAAGAACGTCTGGAAAACTTTTGGAAGCTACAGGTTAAGAAGATGGTATAGCAGACCTGCTGAGCGGTTTTTGGACGTCCTATAGAAGGTCTTTTGTTTATTGATGTCAGGGAGGATATTCTAATAGCTCATGGATTTAGGATTCTGGAATTTTTGTAGAAAATGTTCAATGGAGAAGGCATAGAAGAACTGAAAAAAGTTTTTAAGGTATATGCAGCTCACGAGAGGGTTTATGGTGTCGAAAACTTGCAAAAAGATCTTATGGGAACAGACGTCCTGGCGGAAGTAGGATTTCTTGCCAAGCCATAAGTCCAAAAATGCACTGAAAGGAAGTTACCAACCTAAAAATTATACAGTATTTGCAGTTGTTTTATCATTCACAATTGTGAATTCATAGAAGTTCAGAATGCTTGGAGGGAGGAATTAGAGGATTCATACTTAGAAATTTTTCGAAAGCCTTAAAATTGTAGAAAAGTTGAGGGGTAATAGACCTCCTATGGGTGTTTTTTTTTTTTTGGGATTTCCCAAAAAAGAAAAGTTCTTGAAGATCTCCTTGAATAAATTCCCAATAGTCCTTCTCACATAGGCCGTAGATCCTCACAAGATTTCCAATGGCTTTCTAAGACTTTTACATTGAGATTGCCACCTAGAGGACTTATCTTCTAGAAACTTCGTCTAGAAAAACGCCCTCCTGAATGTCTTCTTCCATCTAAAGAATATATGGACATTTTCAATAGATAAAAGAGATCCAAAAGGTATTTCGTTAATAGGGGAGACTCCTTATAAAATTCCCTTTTAGATGCACTCTGACCACAAAAAGCCCCTTATAAATTTCCTCTGCAGAAAGTAGTTCTTTAGGAGGTTTCCTATAAATTGGAGATCATCTAAATGTAGTTAAGCTTCCAAGTGGGTTCCAAAAGCCCTTCTGAAGTCTTCCTTCTTCTTAGAAAATCTCTAGAGAATATATCTCCTTCTACAGAGAACATACCTTCTCCATAAAGAATCCCTGATAACCTAGAGTAGCGATCCGGAAAGCTTCCAGAAGTTTCTTTCGAAGAAAATGTCTGCTAGTCATATTCTGAAAACAATAGCGTTTTAGAGGCCTTCATTAGATGTGAGTTTTTTTAGAAGTTTCTTATTGAATGGAGACCATCTAAGTGAATTTTAAGGGTAAAAAACTTTCAAGAACCCCATGAACATCTATGAGAGGTAGATAAACTCCTAAAGGTCTTCCATAGAGAAAATCCTTTTAGACATCCTCTTCTTAATTTCCTTATATCGACTTAGTATTGGAACATAACAACTTTATTTTTAATAAATCTATTTACCCTGGTAATATCTTTCTCCCACTGTTCCCCCATTGCCATATAACTTCTGGACATTTCAAAAACCAAAAAAAAAAATTGTAACCCCTTTTTTTGTTATCCATTATTGCTATTGCAAAATTACGTTTACTACACAGATGTCACCTTAAACTCAATTTAAACAAAATATAAATTGCGCATCTTTTTCGCCCACATGATGACGATGATGATGTACATCAAAGTTACTTTTTGCTCAAGTTGGCGGTGTATTCAGAATTTTCATTTGAATGCTCAAATGGTCATTTCTTCCTTCCTTCCACCGTTCGTTCGATCGGTTGGTCGTTCATTCATTTCGTTTTCATTTAATAATAAAAAATGCTAATTAAACTTTTTGAACTGTATTTTCCAGTCAAAGGCATTGTTGTTGGTTGGTCGTTATTAGCCAGCCATCTAACCAGCCAGCCAACCAAGTAGATGCAGTAGTGGTTTCCATTTTCATAAATTTATAGACGAGAACCACCCAAGCGTCAAGTTGAGCAAAAAAAAATGAAAACCAAAATACGTTTTCAAATGATTCACAAAACAGAGAAAAATCTAAATAGAAATGTTTATTGAAAATCATGTATGTGGTCGGTTGGTGTTTGGTACGTACGTACAGGTCGTCCGTCGTACATCCACTGGAGATGTCATTTGAGTTGTTGTAATTAAAGGAAATGTTGGGTTACTATTTTTATTTATTTTTTAACTAAAGAAAAAATGTAAAAAAATTATCATTTTGGGCATTTGTAAATTTCTGATATGCCGGAGACTTAATAAATCATTTAAGCTTAGATATGTTTTAAACAAAAATGCAATTTGCAAATACAAAGAGATCTATTTGGGCTACCTATTTTTGTATTTATGAGCCAAAGAAAAAATCTTCGAAAAACTCTTAAAATTCGAAAAATTCGCATATTTTGGAGGACACATCCTCAGAACTTACCCTGCCCCACCCTCAGATGTTGCTCTTATAAAATCATGTAGACTTATAATTTTTTTTCATTAACTTCAAAAGTTATGACCCATGAAATAGACTCCCGAAAAAATATCGAAAAAAAAACAAATTTTGCTATTTTTACAATTTGGCCATATCTCGGGTATTAGAAGAGATATGACATCAAAATTTGTTTTGTTTATACAGGAGATATTCTACTACTAGAATCAAGTGGATTTTTTAAAGTATCCCCAATAGTTTAGAAGTTATGGTCAACGGAATGTGATTGTTATGGTCAACTTATTTGCAAATTTTCAAAATTGCGTACCAATAATATTTTGCCTATATCTCTGGTATTAGAAGAGATAAGTGAATACAATTTTCTAAAGTAACCTTGAGATATTTTGCTTTCAGAATTTAGTGGATTTTTTAATTTCGATCGAATATTTGAAAAGTTATGATGTCTGGAAAGGTATTGAGTAAAAATGAAAGAAATTTTGCAAAATTGCGTACTAGTGATTTTTTGCCTATATCTCTGGTATTAGAAGAGGTAATTGAATACAATATTCTCTGTGTTACCTTGAGATATTCTGCTTTCAAAATCAAGTAGATTTTTTTAAATTCCGCAAGTTATTACGAAAGTTAGGGCCTCTGAAAAGGGATTGTGTAAAAATAAAAGAAATCTTGCAAAATTCCGTACTAGTGATTCTTTGCCTATATCTCTGGTATTAGAAAAGGTAATTGAATACAATCTTCTCTGTGTAAGATTGACACATTTTGCTCTCAGAATCTAGGAGATTTTTTAAATTGATCGAATATTTGAAAAATTATGGTCTCGGGAAATGGATTGCGTAAAATTTTTAGAAATTTTGCAAAATTGCGTACTAGTGATTTTTTGCCTATAACTCGGACATTCGAAGAGGTATGTTCTTGATATTTACAGAGCACACAATGGCAACGTTCTTCTTTGCAAATCAAGCAAAAATAAATAAATGGGATGTATATTAAGAAAGTTATGGTTACCAGAGTGTGACTATGAAAATATTCCAAAAAAAAATTTCAAAAATAAGCTCTTGTGATTTTTGGTCATATCTTAGGTATTGGGAGAGTTATATCAATAAAATTTAATCTGTGTAAACGTGAGATAATATTCTTTAAGAATCAAGCAGATTTTTAAAATTCGACGGAATATTTGAAAGTTATGGTCCTCGGAATATGATTGCGGAAAATATTAGAAATTTTGCAAAATTGCGTAGTCCTGATTTTTTGTCTATATATCAGGTATTAGAAAAGTTATGTCGTTAAAACTTGCTGTGTGTTAACATCAGATGGTTTTCTTACCAAATCAGCTAGAATTGTGAAATTATGCCGGATATTGAAAAAGTTATGGTCTCTTCAAGGGATTAACTCGAAAATATCAGAAATTTTCTAAAATTGCCTGCCAGTGAATTTTTGCCTATAACTCGGGTATTTGTAGAGGTATGTCAACGTTATCTACAGAGCATATATTTGAGATATTCTTCTTTCAAGATCATGTCAAATCATTAATATTGATAGGATACACAAAAAGTTAGGGACCAATGAATGTGATTGCCGAAAATTTTCAATTTTAAATAAATAAATAATTTTTCATTCTCCACAAAATGACTTGATCTTCTAAGAATAATGTCTCTTGGAGGGTTTGAGAAAGTTTTGTTTATGTATCCCAACAAGTACCAGAGATATCAGAAAAGGTATATGGGTCGCCAATTCAAAAATGTTGAAGACTTTTTGAGTTATTATTTTCCAGAGCCCATAACTTTCATTATATCCTGAGCAACATCAAGAATTAGGATGATTTTGAAAGGAGAATGCCTAAACATGCAGTGGAGAAAGTTTCAATGGCATATCTAATCAAATACCCGAGATATGGTAAAAATATCATGGAATCTTAAAATTCATAATTTTTGGTATATTTTGCGTAACCTCCTCTCATAGGCCATAACTTCCAAAATAATTGATCAATTTTTATAAAATGACTTGGTGTTATAAAAATAATGTGTCTTGACGCT